TCTCTTGGTCTTGCTTGCTGTAAATATGGTACCATCGCTACATCACTGCAACAAAACCATTTTGTTCCACTTTTCACCTGAAGGATTACCTCAAAATCTGAGTGGTTGTAGTTCAATGCTGTTAGGAGTGGTGGTAGAATTCAACACTTCTGTTTACAAGAGACATACAAAATATTTGGCTTTGTAAACACGTAGGGCCAAATAACGTAATATTCTTTCAGCCAACATCCCCAGACTTATAGTCTGCTTTATCTCTCTGGTTTCTGCTGTGAACCTCTTTGGTCTGTGTCTCACTTGCTGGTCAGTCTGTGCTCCTCCTGGTTTCTCCACTCCCCTGCCTTAATCAAATATTACCTCGGCCTTGTACCCAAATAGTTCAGATTCTTTTGTGAAATGTCACGTACCTTTGCTGCGGACAGCCACATGTGCTTAACTGTCTCTTGCAGCCATTTAAAAGAAAGGGTTGGGATTGCTGGCAGTTCCAAGGCGGGCTATCCCAACCAGTAACAACAAAAACACGCTTAGCCAGCCACCAAGTGCCCTGATGGCTTTAGTGGTGGCTGTTGAGGCATTACCAGGCTCAGCTGCCTGTGCATCCTTCCTCTGGAAGCCAGCTCCCCTGTAGCAGGGGTGGCACAAAATGGGACACGTGAGAGCGCCTGACTGACAGCACTTCGAAGGCTGCGTGTTAGCTCGAACCACTGATGAGGCTAAATGAATTCACAGCTACATCTGCCACAGCCCAGGGCTGTGTCTGTGGGCGTTGCTATTCCCCTGATTCCGACAGAAATAGCTCCCCATGCAAACGCAGGCCTGAGCCTGTGTGGAGCCCCAGTGCCTTCAGCAGGGCCCACCCGCGGGTGGCACTCCTGAAAGGACCGGCAGCCACGAGAGCAAGAACGGCAGCAGATGAGTAAGGCCTGCTGCTGGATTTTGGACCGTGCCCCATCCCTGTTTTATCCTCGTTATGATGCACAGTGAAATACTTTAGAGATGACATTCCAGTCCGCTCTTAAAGCGGAGGAACAGAGGGATAAAAAAAAAAATCCATGCCTCAGACACGAGCAAGGATGTGATGGGGGACTGGTGGCGGTGGGAGGCAGAGGCTTATGCTCGGCTTGCAGAAGGCTTTCAAGAGAATTAAAGCATTTTAGAAACTAATATGAAGTAGCAAAATAAGCGTGCTGAAACTATATTTAAAGAATGAATATTAAAGAAGCCACATTCACTCTGAGAGGTTGAAGACAGTCCTAAAAGAACCCCGTCTGGTTCATCAGATAGGCAGGAAAGCTGCATCCCTACATTCAATGTACAAAACCTTCCAGATGAGGTCATTTAATTAAAACGAGTTTGCACACATAAATAGGAAGAAAAGATTATATGGTTTTCTTGACTTCCTGCAGTACAAAAAACACTACAGCCAAGACAGTAACTTCTGCACTGAGCCCAACACTTTCCATGGAGCCATACATAGTTTCAATGGGCATCCAGTCTCTGTGTCAGAACTTAAGGTCACAGCAAAATGAACCCACTGCTACATAATTCACTGCGGGGGTTCACTGCCCTCTGTGCTAAAACATTTGCCTTCCTTCCGGTCTGACACAATCCTTGCATGTTTTGTGTGCCTACACAGGCATATGAACGTTCTTATCTCATCCACGGTGGTAGGGATACATTAGACAATCTTATGAGGGCAATTCATCTTCTTTGACTGTACGTCCCTATGCAGAGAAACTGTACAGTCAAGTTGTACTCATACAAGTTAGTTCTTGCTTCAAAGCATCCCTGCATTGCATACCTGGAGACTTCAGGCTATCTCTGCTACTGATCAAGCAACCTCCCAAACTAGGCTACAGCACTGTAGGACACTGGCAAATGAAGCATTTTTCATTTCAAAATCACTTTAGCATAAGCTAAGCATATACTCACCACAACGCTTAGAACTTTTCAGTCAGATAATAGCCTTTGCCTTATTTTTAAGGGAAAGAACATATCAGGTGATTACCCAGAGCAACAAATTACGAGGGGCAGCAACAGCTGTTGTGCTGGAGCCCTGCAGGACTGCTGCTGAGATCGGGGTCGTGGTGTGCAATGAGCAAAACAGAGAGAGCACTGACCAATGCTCTGACTGTGAGCTCAAGCTCTTGCACTGAAAACACATGCGAGTCCACAGAGCCATGATCTCAGCTTTCAGGGTGCAGCTCCTGCTGTGAAAAACAGTTGTATTGTTCATTAGATATAGCTGATTTACAGAAAAAAAATGCCATATTATTTAAAATTGGCAAGTAAGTCAAATTCCTGGAGGCTGAATTACATGTGAGTCAAAATGCATATCTCTAACATTGCTATACCTGCATCATGTGCTGCTTTTCACTGTTGTCATCATTCATTGCTCTACAACCTTTTCCTTGCAGCCTGTTAATTCTTGAACTGCAGGATAGGAAGTTTGTTTTCAAAGCAAATTCAGCTAGATGGTGACGCCGCAGCAAGACCTGATATCAGGATATGATGTGAATGTAGTTGGGATGGGTTATTCCCATGACAAGACTTGGCACTCAGCTGCCTGTGACTATTATAGGTGAATACCTTTATCAAAAATTAACCACAATCACTCAGACAGGGATAGCTGCTGTCCACACCTGCTTGATTCATTCCTTGTCTGACGTTGAGTAGCTTGACTGCTACCAGAATAATATAACTTTGAATGTAACCTTTAAACCCATCCCTGTTATTAACACACATAAAGCAACTGCAAGTCAGGACTGACGTACCATGAAATGCTTTCCTAATTTCTTAGGGTATTGGTTGTGTAATTGGAACCATTGCTTTCAAAATTACTGTCTCTTCTTGCATTCTTATTAATGAAAGAAAAAAAATACTTATATTCTTCATAGCCACCATAATAAGCAAATCTCCTTTCACTCCTGCCTCTCCTAGAAAACAGGGAATCTTTCCCTCCTTCACTTTTATAATCACTTTTGGCCAACCATCTTGCTTGTTAGGGACTGCTCGGTAACCCAGCAGTCCTCCTGCTGTTCAGGATGGATGCTCTTCATTTCTCTGATAGACAAAAAAAGGTATCCTAATAAAAGACAACTGCACTGGTTTGATGGTGCTACTAAACACATTGCTAGGCTTTGGGTAACTCAGCAGAGACAGTTTCACTTGGTCACACAGAAAGCTCCTTCTCTGTCAGAAGCCTCTCCATCTATGCCATCTGAAGCATAAAGGAACTTTGATATAGAGAAGATTGTCACAGATCTCCTTGGGCAGTTTATGAAAGAGAAATGAATGAGAAATAAGTGGCTGTTCGAGTTTATCATCAGGAAGGATTACCCATGCAATACTGGTTGTGGTCCAGTTAACTGAAATGCTTCCATTAGAGTTGCAAGGATCAAGTCTTTGGGGCTTCAGTTTGGGAAAAGAAGCAGCACAGTCAGAAAGGCATGGAAAAAGAAATAGCTCCTTTCTTTCTTTTCAGGCTGTCCCCAACAGCAGCCGCTTTTATTTTGCTGTTCTACTGAGCCACAGAAACAGGCTTAGTGAATCTCTATACCTCCGTGTAATTTACAAACCAAACTTAACACCACAACCAACAAACGAGTCCTTCATACACTTCCAGTAACACTGGAAGTAGTCCCAGAGCAACCACCAGCTCTAAACAGCCCCAAAGCCGTGGCAGAACTGAAATCAGCATGTAAATTTAGCAGCCATGAGCTGCCTGCCGTGGTTCAGGTTATGAAAGGAAAAAGCAGGCTTTCTGATCTGTGGAGCCAGGGGGCAGAACTACTCAGGCCCAGTGCAGGACTTCACATTGTGCCCCATCCTTTACAAGGACCCTCAGGAATTCTGGAAAGCAGAGGATGTACAGATGATGTCCAGGTTTACTGAAATGATCCTGAGGGCAAGCAAGAAGAAAGTTGGTGGCACACGAGTTCAAAATCTGATATAGTATGTGATACCTTCTAGAGTATTATGTGCATTGGCCTTTCTGTTTTGTAACAAGTCAGTGATACATAGAACATCATAACAGCATGTAACTGCTGATCTATAGCACCATATTATGCCCTTCTCCCAGTGAGCTGTCAATTTTATATTCACATTTCCTATACAGCAGCTCTTTCTACTATTCACGTTAGCCCCATCAGTCACCAAATCACTTAGAAAGGCCATAACAGCTGCAAGAATTCAACAAGACAAAGCCAGCAATGAAGACTGAAGTTCACATTTTATCTGCTTTTAGAAAGGCCAAAGGCTCTGCTGCTGTCATGCTGTCTTAGAGGTCTGTCTTCTGCACAGCCCATGCACTGACACCCAGCACAGCAGTTCTCTTTCAGTGACACGGACATTGGCATAAGAGGGCTACTCTGGGAAATAAAACCAAGTCTGCACACTCCCCATCGTTACCTTCTCTTTTCATTCTACTTTAATTTTATAGCAGTTAAGGACTTTTCTTCACTTGTCTGCACTGCGGGAATGGGTATTGTTAGTAAGTGTTAGGAAGCCACTCAGCCCTGTAAAACATATTCATTCTTCTATTACAGTGCGTGGTACGCAGATAATAGATGGATTAACAGAGCTCTCTCTTTGGGTTTTACTTTATATTCCATAACATTTTCATCCTGGCAAACAAGAACTTGGCCATTAGCAGTACCTGCTGTAAATCAGCCAGCAATCTACTGCTCACAAAAGACAAATGGTGTGGTCATCAGTGGAGCAAATGCAGGACAAAGATGAATACAGAAAAAGCAATGCTTAAGGTGTGGGATGGTCTCCTTGCTCACAATGATACTGGAAAAAATCTTGGAAGGTCACCCCTACCCAAAACAGATGATGCACTGCAGCCTCTGGGCTAGCTAGGATATTCCCTTTTCATGTTTTGCTCTGTTTTGTTTGCAGGTTTCCAGCTCTCATTCAGATAAAGCTGATGGCATTGTGGACACTACCTGCCTGCTGCTGCTCTGCATCTTCTCAGGTGCTCTAGACGAGATCTGAAAGCCATGGATGGGCATGGAGGAGAAGCTGCTGCTGGGCTCCAGCAGGGTATTTCTCGGACATTTTCAGTCTCTGAAGGTGAGGAAGAGTCAGAAGGTGCTGACTCAGCGACCCACGAGAGGGACTCTCACACACACTACATTGCCATTCAAAGAAATTCCAAGTACTATCGGTCCATGAGGCTGCCAAACAGATCAAAGAGAAAGACTGCAAGAGAGGCAATGCATGCAGGACGTGCTGCAGGTGAGTACTGACCCAAACAACATTAAGCTTCCTTTTTCCACTGAGATTAAGAACTACGGGAGTCAATGAAGTTAGGAAAGCAATAGAGAAAATAGCAGATTCAGTGCTCAGCACACTACAGAACACCCCACTCTATGGCATGGCTAGCAGAGGGGTGCCATCTTTGTTCAGCCTGGAAATGCAAACTGGTTGGTTGTTAAGACATGGGGAAGAACCTAAAGAAATCTGTGACTCTGCTCTGCCGCCCTTCCACTAAGAGAGTAATAATTTAAACATGGAAGAAAGCTGTCAAAAAAAAGTAGGAACTTCTTTAGAACATAGAAAGGATAGATTGAAAAAGTGGGATCTACACAAGTAATGGTATGGCAAGCTGAATGCCATGTGGAGTAAATAGCCAGCAAAGGCAAAGCAGTACACTTGGGGACCAAGCCTATGGAAACTGCAATGAAGGGAGCAAGACTTCTCTGGGAAGTGCTGCCACCTCTCACTGGAGATAGCTCTGCACAACACTTATGAACTCTTTGGATGAGGAGGCTGAAATAAGAGAAATACCACCCGGAATGTGTGTGCACTGAGGTATGGCTTGAGTATAACAATGAACAAGTTGGCTGAAAGGCTTCTGAGGGAACAACATGGGGCTGCATCAGCAGAGGGTTAGAGGGGATCAGGGAAAGGCTCTGCACCTGAGGGCGATGGGCATGAAACAGCTCCAGGGCAGTGGGCACAGCCCCAGTGCTGCAGCTCAGGGAGTGCTGGGACACCACTCTCAGATATAGGGCTTAGATTGTGGGCTGGCCCTGCATAAACCATGAATTGGACTCAGTGATCCTTGTGGGTCCCTTCCAACTCGGGATGCTCTGTGGTTCTATGAACAGTGCAGAGCATGGCTGCAAGGCGAGACGTTCACTGAGCTGGCATGTGGTCTGAGCAGCTGTGAGAGAAAGTTATGAGAAGCTGAAAAGAGAGCCAGGAAAGGAGCTATCTCAACACATTCAGAAGTGCTGGAAACAGGGCTGCAAGCAAAAGCTGAGAACAGTTGTAATTCAAACGTGAGGTGAGAGAGACCTGGAACCATGAATACAGAACATGTGCTCTGCTTAGTCAGCTAGGTGTTCAGAGAAACTGAGTTTTATAGCTTCTTGTAAGCAGTGATGATACCTTTTCCATCTTGAGATTATAAACTGATACATAATCCTTTGGACTCTGAACTTTGGCTAACTGCATGAGTTAAAACAATATAACTGTATTTCTGACATTTGAGTTCTGTGCAAGGCATCAAGGACTATTACTTTGTTATGCAGTAGTAAAGCACATCAGTTCAGCCCCTGAAAACAAACCAAATTATTTAAGAAAACAAAGAATAGAAATCCTACACCTCAAAATAAAGGAGGCCTGGGAAACGTCCCCAAGAAAATAGGTGTCTCCTGCCTGCCTTGCCAAGGGCAGTGCTATTTCAGCAGTATAAAGGCCCATTCAACCCTGTGGCAAGGACAGAAGGAAAGTTCCCGCCCTTCTCCAAGTTTCCAAGCAGACAGCAGCAGAGCAAAGAGCTGTTTAATATTCTGCTACTGTTGTCAATGAGGTTTGTGGATAAACTGAGCACTGCCAATGCCAGAGCAGACCTGCTCTCCACCCTGCCAGTGCAGCAGCAGGACCTGAGCAGAGCCGTCCTCTCACTGCTTCCCCAGAGCACTGCTGCAAAGCAAGCTGAGAGGAGCCTCGCCCTCTCTCCGGATCTCTGAGCATCTCAGCATCCAGACTGCTGCTGAGGAGGCCCCTGCCCTGTTAGCTGCAGCAGGACCAGCACACAAGGACATGCATGGCTTCTTCATACATCTGCAGCATCACAGCATCAGGACAGCAGCGCAGGAGGACATCCCTCCTGTCTAGCCAGTGTCACTGAGGAAGGACAAACTAAAAGAAAGGCTGATCTTCTCTTAGCAGCTCGTTAGAGCATCCACAGGAGCTGACCTGCGTTTCTCTCTCACACATATTCCCTTCCTGTGTTACATCTGTGGCTTTTTCTTCCATATCTGCAATTGTTCAGCAAGACACGCTGGAAACGTTTCTTCTCTCCGTTTGTACAGCAGAACTCAGGCTATGAGCTATAGATCTTTCTCCAGTATGACTGTAGCAAGTCCAGCTTTTATACTCAGCTAGGATTGTGTAAGCAGCCTTCTCCCTCTGCTCCACTGACTCCATCCCCTCTCCCAGAAACTGGACAGCGGGGGCTCTTACAGCAGCCTCACTTGTAGCAGGAACAACTTCTGACAGCACTCGCTGACGTGCATGGAAACAAGGGATGGGTGAGCTGTTTTATCTTGACTTCAAACTCATTTGAGCAGCAGCTATCCATGAGTCTGACTCAGTCTCAAATGCTAACCTGTTCCCATTTTACTTAGGAAACGAGGGGAGGAGAGAGGAAGGAAAGAAGAAGGGAAGAGAGGGTAAAGTACAGGGGAAAATGCAGGGTAGGATACCAAACAGGAGAAATAAAGACCCAAGAAATGAGAACAAGAAAAATAATCTAAAAGCGTATAAATCCAGCAGAGAGAAAGGCTTTTATATAGGCTCCCTTTGCACCAGTCTAGCTTTGGCTTATAGCCTAGGAGTTGTAAAATATAATAGATTTTTTCCTTTAAATGGAAAATGAGCTTGTGTTTTTTTAAGCAATCTCCTCTGACAGGAGGCTGAAGTGTTTTAAATATCCAAGAGGCAAAGTGAAAACTGAAGCTAGCGTTTTGTAAGCCTTTGGCAGTGTTTGAGGCAGCTAAAGAGTCTGGATTTCACCCTTTCCATCTGAAAATCCATAGCACTGATTAAATGGGTGGGGCAGAAACCAGCTTCAGTTAGTGTTGACCTGACTGTGCTGTCACCAGTTTGAAATGCAAACAGAATTATGACTTAGACCAAAATATTTCTAAAAAAAAACCCCAACAAGGCCATTTATCAGCAGGCCTCAAACAACAGGAGGTTTCATTTGAGAAGTGAGATGCACCGCCTCCTGCCAAGTACTGCAGTAATAAGCCACAGACTTAACACAACTTTGGCTCCCTGTGAAAGGATTGGAGGTTCATCTGAGGAAAAGTAGAGAAGCAATTAAAAGTAAAGCTCCTGTCTCACCCAAATCTAGCCTTGATTTATCCAGTAAACTGAACAGCTACTGTGTGCCTGAAAGCAGAGCAGTAATGAAGCCCTGACTTGAGAAACGAATATTAGCAAGAACTGGCACACACAGCTAAACCTTTTTTCCTTAAAGAATTGCACTGGAAGTGCTGGGGCCCAATGTTCACTGGCCAGAGAGCCACTTGGAGGTGTAAGAACTGATATAGTACATATACTTTCACCTTTCCTTGCTTGCAATTTGCAGCTGCACCAAAGGTTGTGCAGCCATGCTGTAGACAAGCTGTTGACATTTAAGTCTGGCTTGAAAAGCCAAACTAAAATGTAGTGTTGTGTCTGTAGTCTTCCTATTGCCTTTGATAAAAGAAAACCCACTATCTATGGTACAAGTGAAGATGGCCCTTAAGAAAGCATCTATTTTAACACCCTCTTGGCTTTCTCTTATGTCACAGGTTCACTCAAAAACAATGAGTCTGTCAAAGAGCCTCTGAATGTTCTACCTCCTAAGGGATCACCAGCTCCTGTAGACTCTAATGAGACAACTTTAGAAGAACTATTGATTCAAAGGTAAGGATTGTGTGTTCGGGGCACTCACTGCACTTCTACTGAAGAATACAGAGTGATGTCAGAACAAAAATGCTTACTTTTGAAGACCAGTTGGACTAAGCTGTAGCTACCAGCCCATGCTTTCTCACCTTGGCTTGTAGTGCTGTTTTGAGTTGTGTTGTTATGTATCATGTAGTACTGGAGCTGTGGTGTAGAGGTTCTTAACGGTTCTTAACTTTTTTGGGGAAAAAAAAGTGAAGGGGCAGCGGGGAGGTAAGTAAGAGAATGGGAAAATTTGCAAAAAGGAGAATGTGATGTAGGATCATCTAGTGGCATCAGCAAGGAGGCAGTACTATCTTAAGAAACTTGGTGAGAGAATCAGGAGACCCTGAAGGCATTGCCTGATGGAGTATCCCAATACAAGGATGGTCCCATTCTCAGTGTTCCCACAGGGCTCTCCTGAATGTTGGTATACAATCTCACGCAGAAGACAGGTTCTCGTATCTGAAGAAATAGCTACAAAAATGTTTCCTGAGGCATTTTGATTTTGTATTTTCCATTTACTTTCAAGAATCAGTAATCAGTAGGGGTCTTGAGTGAGGTGGTCTTTTCTGCTCAAAATCCCTCAATAAAAAGGGAAAAGCAAAAGGCCTTGATTCCATCATCAGTATAGTGCAGGGCCAGGGGAGCCTCACAGGCTCCATGCCAAAGGTGAACCCCAAGCAGGTCCAAACACAGCTGACAAACGCATGCAAGACTTGCATACAGAGTGGCAATCTCATCTGCAGTGTCTCAGAGGAGTTATATTTCAAGGGGCAGACAAAGTTTACCTGCATCCCTGCTCTCTTAGCACTGCAGCTAGACAGAGGGATGAGCAGCTTCTGAGCCTCGCATCTTCTAATACACAGCTGAGGTATTCTTCCCAGATCACTCTCTGGCTTCTCATCATTGGCGTGTATAATCACTGGGTGGTCACTAGCTGTGCTATAGAAGATCAAGTTGACAGCACTAACACTTGCCTTCTGAAGGTGCATGCATTATACTACGTGGTGTGGTCTTAATTACTGAGCTGAGCTGTATTGGCACAGCACGTAGTGTACATTTCCTAATCAAGAAGTAAAGAGTGAAAAAATTCAGCCAAACTGTCAAGTTGGATTTAAATAAATTAATTGCCCTGGCTGAAATTGATTGCCCCTTGGCATTAAACTGAGCATAAGAAACTAGACAGTTGCAGTCTGCTGAGATGTCATAGCCATCTGTCTTCCTCTCCTTGCGGCATAATCATCACTGTCAGTCTCTGACATCCTGACACCACCACTTAGGCAGCTCTGAAACATGCACAAGCTGATTCTCCCTGGAGCTGGAAACAATGAGCCTGTGCTGGGAGTCAGTCTTTATCAAAGGTGCTGCTGTGCACAGTGCTTGACAGGTCAGTGCAAGTTCTAAGTCACGCGTCTGCTAAAAGCTGGCAGTGCTGCTGAGTGGCATTGCACTGAAAGCAAGCAAAGAAATCTGGCAGAGAACGAGACCGGAGTTCTGGCTCAAACTGAACTCATGTCCTCCTCCTCCTTTCTCTAAAAGATCTGCTGTAATTTGTAAGAGAACCAGCAGAAGTTTGCATTGCGAAAAACCTGCAGGATTCTAAGGGCATTGCCATTATTTGCAATAATCACCATCCTCCTTCTCCTCCTCCAGGAGAAAACAGGCCTTGGTGCAGAAAAGACAACCAAAATGTTATCAATGATCTCAAAAAAATGCATTTAGTCTCTGAAAGGAAAAGGACCTCTCAGCAAGGAGTTCTGAAAGCAGAAGATTGTTCTGCAGAAAGGAGAGTAGGAGTACTTCTGACCAGAACATAAGTTTCTCAGGAGTGAATCACCATGGTCCTGAGGGCAGGTGGGACATCAGTGCTGCATCTCTTCACACTCACTACTGTTTTGACAGCAGTGTATAAATGCTAGGGCTAGGCAGGCTCAGTTCCTTCTCCTTGCATGAAGATGCCAACACAAACATGTTTGCAGGTAGGGATGTCACTTCACATATATCCATGCAACAGAATTTGGGGCACGGAGTAACCATAACTGGGAAACATAGCAATAAATGACCATTTCTCTACAGTGAACTCTCTAAAGTGAGCTCAGGTGGGAGATGGATTTTAACACTCTGAATAAGAAGCAGCACTATAGACTCCTTCAAACCCACCAGTGATTTGAGTCTACGTGTCATCCCAAATCTACCCTACACCCTCCATACAGCACTTATTTAGAGCACTTTTATGCCTAACTATTCTTAAATTATTTTTTCCATATGACCTTTCTCCCTGTGACCTCCAGCTCTCCCAAAGCACTCTGGAGTTCCCCACAGCATCCTGTGGCTCCCTCCCAGTCTGCCACATTGTACGAGTATCCAAACCTCTCACATGATGATCCTCTTCCCAGCTGTTTGGTTAACTCCCCCAGCACATCTCAGTGCTGAGCTTCTAGCACAACTTCTGTTCATCAGGATAACCACAGCCAAAGACCTGGAAGGAACTAAGCTCACAAGAAAGCTTCCCTTTCATACTGCCATCAGTCTTACCAGCTTCACAGCAGCAGCAATTGTGCAGATTGAGATCACAGAAAACCACTGCTGAAAAACACCCACCCAGGGAGTCCATCCATAACTGTCAGCCTCAGCTGAAAACAGCTACCACAGAGAGCAGAAAATTAGTCATTTCAAACCCCAGAAATGAGATCCACCAATCAGTACCTATCCTATATGATCAGCTAATAGGATGTTGACTTCTCTTCATTTCTAATACAATGCAGATGTTTTATCAGCATGAGGGTGCTACTGACCTCCCATTTCCCACTGAGTCAGATGCCAGCAATGATACATATTCATTGTGGGCCACTAGATACAGTGGAGAAGAAACTCAATGTGAAATCTCATGTCACAAAGCTCGCTGCAAGGTCATTCATTTAACACTTCAGAGAAATCGATTTTCTTTTATGAAACCTCCAATGCGGAGGAAAAAAAAAAAAAATCATCTAAAATAGTGGATTAGGTTTGATCTGAGTTAATAGAATGGAAGCACTACAACAGCAAATACAGCCACCTTCAGCAGAGAGGGGGAACCTAAGAGATACACGTTTGCAAATGGATATCAGAAAGAAACAACTATTGATGTAAATCAGTATCGCACTCAAGGATTGTGTGAATGTGGGTTAGCTTCCCACAGCACTGTTTGTCCTGGGCAGCAGAGGGCACTGCTTATATAGCCTGATTTAACCAGAAAAGAGGGAAAAGCCTCCAGAGAGGCTGAGACCTGCATTGCAAGAGGTTGTACTCGAGTTTCCTTCTAATTATGAAATGAATTTCTTATAGTCACCTCTTTACATGTTGAACAAATCTTTGTCACCCCATAACTTTTATTCTTTTGCTTTTTTAGAGATAGATAATTCTTTTCGTACCCTTCTTTCTCTACAATCACAAACTTAAAAAGCTTAAGAGCAGCAGCATTTGCAGGGGGGGAGGAGGGGCAGGTTGGGGTAGAAAGTTCTAAAAATAATCATTTTTCTCTATAAAGTACCCATTTTAGACATTAAATATTATTAGTATCAAAATCTCAGATTTCACAGAACCATAGTTAGTCATAGCATTTACAGTCCTACTTAAGTATGCTTCCAGCCTGCAACCAATGGAGAACCTAATCCCAGTTTGCCCACCTATTCCATCCAGCCTCTGTTCTTCAGCTCTTACAGCCAAGCCATGGCTTCAGCACACAACATTCAGGCTCTACTTTCTAGCTCTCCCAGCACAATCCACTTCTTTTAAACCACCCTGGTCCTCAACCAACCCCTTTGCTTCGCTCCTTTTCAATCAACCCCAACTTGTGTTTTTTCACCTGATCTCCTCAGGCTAATGTTTCCCAGATGTGTTACTCCTCTCTCTTCCTCTCTGCAGCCCGTATCTCTGTGTCCTGACGTTCCCCAAGCCCATCACCCTTTTGCTCTGCATACAATCTTAGTCTTTCATCCTTGCACCTAGTTCCAACGCTGCATTCTGCAGCCATCTCCAGCTCACCACTTCCTGAAGCACCCAGCTGTGGGCAGTTCCTCTCTTCATAGCAGCCTCTTGGTCCAGAAGCAGACTCTTCCCTCTCCATGCTCAGGTCCTCTTCCCTCTGCTTTTCAGCCAGTTGTCTTGTTGTGCTGCTCAGACCCAGCACGAGGAGCACTGAGGGTACAGGAGATGCAGGCATTATTTGTAGTGCCTAGAATTGTACCAGGCCATTTCTACCACTGCAGTATCAGAAATGTTTTTCTCAGCCCTGGACAGGGCACCTGTTCTCTCCACGGGCAGCAGCTCAGGGAATTTTAGATGCTAAAATCCAGGTCTCCGGTTTGTGTGTATTGGATAGAGTGCAAAATAGCCTATAATCCCTATGGATTTTCACAGGTCAGACAAAGATAAAGCCCTGGAAAAGCCCAAATTTCAACTCACATTTCAAGAGAAGCCAAAGGTTCTCAGAGGATAAAAAGACAGGATTTCTGTTTTCTTTTAATAGCATCAAATTATATCTTCCTTAACCTAAGAAGCTGTTGGGCCCCTTTTTTAAAAGAAAGTAGCAGCAGTCTATGGCAGACGGTCAGCAAGTAAGGAGTCCTAGTGATTCTGAGCATCAAAAGGTTATAGGCAGGTAAAGATCTCATCATAGGAAGTTCTGAACATTTTTAGTTGTCAGTAAGACTGCCAGCCCCAACAGATTTAATTAAGGTATTTTGGTGAAAGCTTAAGGAGGCTCAGGAGAACAGATGTGCCCTTGGCCTTTATAATCTAAAAATATTAGGGATGAGGAGTTCCACTTATCTCTCTGTCAAAAAAAACCAACAGGAATAAAAATTGCATTTTTGCAATTTGTTGTCAAAAGCACTACTGAAAAACCACACGTGAGCAGAAAGAAAATCTGAATGAACCTGAAGTATGAAAATACATTTTACTAGGTATAACGTTATTTGAATCTATTAATAACTTCACACTTCTCTGCGAATTTGGTTAGCTCAGATTAAAACGGTGCTTCTTACTTCATCTCGTGGCCTTTCTTGGTGTGAAACTCCCACTGCCTAAAGGGTTTGGGGAATGTTTCATGAATAAGAGATGCTGGGTCGCATCTTCTCATTTTTAGTTTCTGAGACTTGAGTTCTAAAAACTGCTGTAAGACAACAAAAGCAAAATCCTGCCTTTCAGTGTTGTTTGAAAACCAACTCTTTGCACAGCTTTATTCTAAGGACTGCTTTTGAATTCAGGCAAACGTAAGAAAATTGGAAAGGTTAATTTGCAGCTGACCAGACAGGCCAAGGCTGGAACTTCGTCCCCCCAACCATAGCTTAAGTAATTATATGAATTTGATAGACGAACTAATTATAAGCTCACACCAATTATCAGGTTTTTAATGCAGCAATGGACAAGATCAGCCTGCACCTGAAGCTCAGAACTTCCCAATCCCCCTTCTTCCTTTGCACAAAGTATGCAAGCCCAAACCCACTCTCCTTCACCAACCATGGTCATGTTTCACAGCACCAGAGCACGACCAACATCATGAGGCCACGAGGACCATTTCCAGTGCTCGTGTGCTTTGGGAATTCCTGAGAGAATTCATTGTTCATATAGTGGGAAAGACAAAATAAACCTCCTCCAAAGCGCTACTGGATGGCCAACATCAGGAGGAAAGGGTACTTTTGCCTGAGCCTGCAGTTCCATGGCAGTGGAAGATGATCTGAGGTGGCACTGCCTTGGTCCTGCCATCCATCTGTGTGTCTGCCACCTCTGCGGTGCTGGCTCTCAGCAAGCTGACCCTGTGGTGAGAGAATTCAGTGGTCAAACACACACAAAGCTAGTTCTAAAAAATAACCAGACGTTTTTCTACTAGTTTAGATGCCCAAATCAGCTCACCAAGAAATGAGACAACCAAGAGCTCTGGCTTAAAGAGGAAGGCAGATTGCTGCCTTGGGGAGTCAAGTGCAAAGATGAATTGTGCAGGCAGATCAGCCTAAATTGCACTTCGAATTGTGGGAGAAGAGAGGGAGAAAGAGGAGCTGAGCGCAGCTGTTCTATCTATCACACTTAGTCCTGATTAATGGTGAAGAAGGGAGTCCCATGAAGAGGGGAGCAGAGCTGAGCCCACCCTGGGCAGGCCACACTGTGCAGCCTGTGAAGGAATGGCTCTCACTTGGAAGCTCCAATGGGCTGCAGTGAATCACTTGTTTGCCTTCCTTCATTCCTCACGACAAATTTGGAAAGCTTTAGAAAACCTCAGTTATTTTGCAGGACAGAAATATCCACTTCTCGCTAATCTTTTTTTTTTTTTATAGCCCAGCCTCAGAGCGCTGGGAGCACTCTGTCACCTCACTTGGGAGAACAAGCATTTCTCTGTACAGCAACACGAAGCGGTGAGGCTGCGGTATAAAGAAAGAGCAAGACTTCAGAAAACCCAAGCTACAATTATGAAGGAAAAGTTCTAAAGGAAGGGAAAGGAGGTGATTAGTTGCTGCCACACGGCGGAATAGATTTCAGATGGAAAAAGGAAAGCTGTGGCTTCTCATGGCCACGGGGGGCATTTCACTCCAGGCTGTGTTCTCACCTCCTCAGAGCTTCCAGCGTTCTTATTATCATTATTACTTTAGCAACGTTTTCCAGGTTTTCATCTTAGACCAAAAGTGAAATTATTTTGGAAAATCTGAAGAGAAAAGACAGGTGGGATCCTTAGAGGGGATCTATTAGGAGGGATCCTTAAAAGAGATCCTTAGAAGGCACTTTCTGTTTTCTAATGTTTCTCATGCCATGACCCAGACGCTTTTCTTTTTTCATTCCAAACTGCAATGGATTTAACCCCTGAGAGCAAAGCAGGTACAATTTGTTAACCTTTTAATGCATGTTTCTGAGACTTTTTTTATTTTAGTAGATACACCCCAAATTTGTCCTGGCACATGTACAGCAGTGCAGTGTCAGTGACAGCGCCTGCACTGGCTTCCTGTTGCATATCAGAGAACTCCTCGCTGCTCTCGGTCCTTCTTTAGCAAACAGCATCCCTGTATTTCCAAAATTCAGGATAACAAAGGTGATTGGTGCAATTAATGTCCTGCCTACCCTTGACTTAGAAAGAAGCTTTCAGCATGCCACCCACTTCCCAAAACCCCTGACCATGTTCCCTGGCAGCAAGATCCCAAAACAGCAATCATTAGGCAGAGCTTCAGGCTCTCTCTGACAAGACCCTAATTTTTCCCATCAGTTGTGTGGTTCCTCTGACCTCCCAGCCCAGGACTGGGCTGATGGAGTTATCAGAGCCTGGGCTCCCCCCACAGACACTTCTGCCTCCTTAATGACCCGAGGACCGAGCACTTCCAGCACACCAGATCTACTTCTCACGAGCTGAGGGAGTTTTTTTTTTCCTAAATGTACAGTCACGTGCTGGCTGGATACATCACTTAGTAAACACAATATAAAAATGATAAAAAGGAAACCACTTCTCATATACAGCCCGACAAAGGGATTTTATGCCGTCGCATAAACTGCAGTATTGCTTACAGAATAAAGCATGGCTATATATGCAATGGGGAGAAAGTGAGCACGCGAGGCATAGCTGAGCATTTTCTGACGGTTAACTCAGTTGCAGTGTGGTGCAGATGACGTTTTTGCTGGGGGGTTACTAAGGTGGAGGGCAGAGCTGCACTCAAGCTGTCCGCAAGCACTGCGAGCAACCCAGGGTGCAGCCGTGCTTCAGAGCTCAGAGGATTTATCCCCGAGGCGGAGAAACAATTACCTGAACGGAGAGATAGAGCTCGTTACTGAGATACTGCCTAAATGAGAAAATATATCCTTATGGAAATAGCGACGCTAAGATGGGGAGAATGAGCGGGGGGATGCAAAGCCAGCCGTAGGAAACAAGCAGGGCAGGAGGCAGAGCAGGGAGGCAGCTTGGCAGCAGGGCTTAGGCTGAGCCTCCACGTTACATCCCTCCATATCGGGGTGTCACTCCCAGAGAAGAAATGCACCATCCGCTCCAGATCTGGAAGCGGTTCAGGAAAGCTCCTTTCTCCCACTCCCTGTCCTCCCTCCGAGCCGGCGCTGGCCGCACGTAGGCACAGACGGCTTCAGGGAGGTGAGAGGTCAGCGGCAGGCAGGGCTCCGTGGGGTGGGCGCAGGGTGGGCTGCGGTGCGTGGGTGCTGCGCGGGAGGCTGCTTGCTGGGAACGAGGGGATGGAGAGGGGGCATCCCTGCGTCTGAGGAAGGAGCCTCTCTGCGGGAAAGCAGGGGATGGAGGTAGGGGTGCCCGCAGAGCCCTCGGAGCAGGGACTGCCACTGGGGGGGCCCTTGGGGAGGAGGCAGTCAGCCTCCCGGCGGAGGAGGGACCTGCGCTGGAGCGGAGCCGGGGGGGGCGGGAGGGCGAGGAGGTCTCTGCGGGCGAAGGGTGGTGGGAGGCTGGGGGTACGGCACGGCGGGGCTGCGGGGGTAAAGGGGAGAACGGGAGGGGTCTGTGGGGGGCTTTGGAGGGATTTCGGAGGCTCTCAGAGGTTCTTCGTGGGGGCTCCGAGGGTCGTGTAGGGGATCTGAGGAGGGAAGCTGGGAGAAGCCGCGGGGGCTCTGAGGGTCCCTGCGGGGGTCAGGGGGGGTTTGGCGGCGCTGAGCGAAGCTCGAGGGGGGTTCGGGAACGCAAAGAGCGGCCGCGACGGGCAGGGGGTGCTCGGAAGGTGCTGGTAGGAACTGGTAGGGAGGGATCTGAGAGGGCTCTGTAGGGAGAACCCGCGGGGAGCCCGAGGTGCTCCGAGCCGATTTTGGAGATCGGGGCCCCGCAGATAGCTTGGGGGGAGGGGGGAGAGGGTCTGAGGGATTCCGGTGGAGAGACCCCCGGGGACGGCCGAGGGGGTCCGAGGAGAGGCTCCGAGGGGCCGGGGGTGGCTGTGAGGGTTTTGGGGGCTGCGGGGGCGCCCCGGGGGCGGCCTCAGCTCCCCTCTCCTTCCCACGCAGGCTGCTGCCTTCCTACCCCCGTTACCGTGGCAACCTCCCGGGCTCCCCCAGCCCCGCGCCGCCGCCGCCGCTACCGCCGGAGCTGCTCGGCAGCCGCCTGCCGCCGCCGGCCATGGAACTGCTGGCCGCGGCGCTCAGCGCCGCCTGCGCCCTCGACCAGGACGGCTCTGCGGGACAGCCCGGCAGGTGAGAGAGGGACGGACGGGGAGGGGAGGGGAGAGCGGGGGGTCCGCGCCCGGGGCGGAGGGGCCGCTCCACGCCGCTCCACGCCGCCGCCCCGCCTGAAGCTCCCTCGCGTCCCGCAGGAATCCCCCCGCGGCCGCCGAGGACAGCCCCACCGCCGCCGAGGCGTCGCCGCCCGCCCACCCCATGACGGCCGACTCTTGGAGGAACCTCATCGAGCACATCGGTAAGCGGTCGGCCCGCCCGAACCGTCCGAGCTGCGAGCGGAACCGCGGGGAGCGATCCCGGCGCGGCGCTGAGCCCGGCAGAGCGCCGGGACGGCGTCGGGCGGAGGTGCGCGAGCCCCAGTCGCCGTCCCTGCTGGGAAACCTCCGCTGTCGGCGTTAGGAACGGAGCTGCGCCTTCAGCAGCGCCCTTACACCGCCTCTTGGTGCCTCGCGCTGCCCCGCAGGTGTCAGGACGCTGTTGCTCCGTTCCTCAAACTGAGATCGCTTTTGGTAATGACGAAGGGGTCGACAGCGAACTTCCTGCTAAAATCTGATTTTGCACGCTCAGAGTGCGTTACTGAGCGAGCAGCCGTGCGGCAGTGACGGAGCGGAGCGGCACACGCCGGGCTCGCCGCGCTGCCCGCCGTCCCTCGAGCAGAGCCGTCATTTCTGCCGGGCAGAGGGAGAGCCGGGGTGATGTGGGAGGCTGCGGAGGGGAGGATGGCTCGGTTTCGTCTGGGGAAGTGACAGTGCGAGACACTGGAACCTGTAGGGCTGTCTGACTGAGCAGAGGAGCGCTGAGCTTTTTGAGGAAAGCGGTGATCAATTCTGCACGTTGCTAGGTCTGTTACTTTCTCGTGGCTGTGTAGGTACTCGTGTCCCAACGCAGATTTGCCGATGTATCTTCAGTTTGAGGGACTGGGCTGCTGAGAGGCGTGATAAAAATACTGAAGCCACCAGGACTTCAAAGCAACCTCGTTGCTCCATTCATGTATATTTTTACATGCTGCCAATCAGAGGATGCTGTGTGATAGCTCTGCATGCATCCGTTTAACTGCACATGGGTCTGTAGCATTCTGATGGAAGGAGGCAGGGTCTGACAGCCAGAGGTGCTACACTAATCCCCAGCAGATAGGTCATTTCCAATGGCTGCAGCACACTGCTGCCTTTCCTCCCTCCTGCCTTTGAGGCACTAATGGACTTTTTGCCTGAAACTGGAGCAGAGAATTTCAGAAAACGTCTCTGGACCCCCTGAGATTTTACACAGCTTTCAGTGCAATAACGTTTAGTTTAAGAGCACTGCAAACTCTCTAAGGCGAGCATTTTCCACAATTAGTAACCAGTGTTTCAATTCCCTTCCCAGTGTTTGAGGGAGCTGGGAAGGGAGGCTGACAGCAAAATGAAATAGAGTGAACACAGTGGGAAAGTCTAATATCATGCTTACAAACTATGTAAACACCCCGTGTGCAGAACAGCCTCAACCACTGGAGTCACCAGGCAGCACCAAACCCTCACTCTGACCACCTGCTTACCCTTCAGCCAATGCTAGTGGGGATGTTAAGCAATGGATGGAGCTTTTACAGGTCTCTGACATCCTATGCTTGCTCATTTACTAAACATAAGCATTCACTAAATTATCATATATGTTGTCCTTTTTGACTGGTTGCAGCTCTTCGTTTCTTCCCACCCATTTCCTACATAAACATCTGCCTGTGTTTTGTCTTTCTCCTGGTATCACCCTTTTGTTTCTTCCCAGTATTGCTGTTTGTGCTTACAATGCATTACCTCGGTGGTGTTTCCAAATGAGTTCTGTTGGTGGATGCCTGTGGTCAGTCAGATCTTCCTGTGTCTATACATGCAATGCCTGCAGTCTTCCCATGGGTTTTCCCTTCTTGGTGGCTCAGTCAGGGGACTTGGAAACAAGGTCAGGTTTCATCGTATGGATTTTAATTCCTTGCAAACAAGTGAAAAATAATTGTCACAAGGGTCTTTTTATTGAAAAGACTGCTCTCCAGCCCTGTGCAAGGGAGACTGAATCACCCTTACACAAAATATCCCTGAGTGTCTCAGCCATACAGGGCAGAGCCACCAGCACAACATGGCTGAACGATCGGGTATAATTATCTGCAGTAAGAGTAAAATAGATTATGCTCCATTTTCTAAGCATGTTTTCCCTTGACAAGCATTTGCTTCAGGCTTTTCTTTCCCACGTCCTGCTCCCTGTGCAGCTCACTGGGGCAGCAAGCACCCCGTGCCCCACTGCACTCACAGAGCAGCACGGCTGAACACAGCTCAGATTCAGGAGGCTCTCCATCCCTCGAGGAACCTTTCCACCCCTCCACATCCTCAGCACCCTCACTGAGGCTGATTAGCAGGCAGGAATGCTTAGGAAAGCCAAATAAGCCTACTTGACGCAGAGAGAAATTATATAAGTAGCAGCAGGATGCAAAACTTCAGGAGAAGTCTCTTCTCTCTGGTTACTGTGTAGGATGCTAAGAGAAGACTGTATGGTTTCCTAGGCACAGCTACCCCTATTGCTATTTTAATCTGGCGCTGAGCATCTTTCCAGGGAGAACAGCTACCAGGATACACCCGCAGGCTGCAGTACTGCTCTCCTTGTGCCTGTGCTTTTCCCCAGCATATTTCTGGAATAGTGTTAACAGCTACTGGAACAGAGCCTTGGGAAAACTGCTCCAGAGATGTATCAGGCAGTGACAGTGACATTTCTGCCCTCCCTAGACAAACTGCTGACCCAGTTGTCTCTCAACGCAAGGGATCTGCTTTTGAGATCTAGTATCATCAGTTCATGTGGCCAGGTGGATTTTTTATTCCTAATGATTCAGACTAAATAAATTACGTAGGTTTTGCTGGTTTTTTTCTTTTTTACATCAAGGATTTTTATCTTTATTCGTTTATCTTACACTTTTGAGATTCAAGTATAAGCCAAGAGAGATAATGTAAGGTGTCCTCCTCAACTTGAGTGAGTGAGGAGAGTGATTCAGAGTAGGCTCGTGGTCTCCTGCCTTCTCATAGCCTCTAAATTGCACTTCATGTTCAAGCAATTAATGCTCTGGGTCCTACAGGTGGCTTAGAGATATGGGCACGTGGAGGTCTTAGAAGAGAGACAGGATCTTCTATAGGCTGCCAAGGAATTTCAGGATTCTTACCTTTCTGGTGCTGTCTGTTGGGGAGCTGGAGCAAATTCATCTGCTGCTGGAGCTAGTAATGGCCATGCAGAAGGCACCTTGTGAGGTTGGTGTGCAGCAAGGTGTGTGAACTGATGGCCTTTTCTCAGTGCTGTGGCATTCAGGTAACTTTGAGCCTTACATTAACATCTTCAGTCATGGTAGAAACTGAGAAGTAAAAAGGAAATTGAGCAACATGTCCAATGCTAACCACAAAGTCAACACCAAAGCAAACTGGTCCCAGTGCTTCACCTATTAAATGCTTTAACAACAGCTCGCTGCTTTCTCCTTAGGGATTTTCATAGCCATCACATCGGTCCTTTGAAGCAGTTTCAGCATATGCAGTGTTGCTTCTCCAGACACAGGCACACCAGCAGGGCAATCCTTTCCTTCCAGCCTCCCTGCTTGTAGCATAAGAATAGCGCAGAGATTACCAAGGTCTTAAAAGAAACATTTAAAACTTGGCAAATAACAAGGCACTCTTCTTTCACGCCTCCCACTTGGCCATGGGTTCACCTGACTGCACAAGGTTTGGGATAGAAGGTGGTTAGCAACGGTTCAGATTTAGGCATGGCTTCCACATGGGCTTTGCACTGCTGGTTGAAGTAGGAACACCCTGTGTGACTTTTGGTATCAGTGCAGAGGGGATATCCCTCATCCCTGCTGGAGTGAGCAGTGCAGTACGGCCCTCCATTCCCACAGTACTCTTCTTTTGTTCAGCTGCAACCTCTCAGACCTGTTGTGTTGCCTTCTAGGGCTCTTGTATCAGGAATATCGAGATAAATCTACGCGCCAGGAGATCGAAACCAGACGGCTACAGGATTCACAGACAGACCCTGAGGAGAGTTCGCCCAGTGAGGAAACCCCACCTGAGACAGAACCTGCAAGTACTCCTGAGAGCAAAGCTGCACCGCAATTCAATTTGCTGAGGAACTCCAACTCCAGGTTCAACTTATGGCAGGACCTGCCGGAGATCCGGAGCAGTGGGATCCTCAGCATCCTCCAGCCGGATGAGATCAAGCTGCAGGAGGTAAACTGGGAGAAGGTGGAATGTTTCTTAACTGGGCTGCTGCTTAAAGTGAATTAAATCAGATGGTTGAGATTTAAGAACGGTAAGCTTCATAGCAGTCGCAGACAAGCCTTGTTTTGCTAAGTGTTTTCCTATGACACACCGGATAGCACCACTCACTTTTTTTTTTCTTTTTTTTGAAATGACAGGATATTATCCTGTATGCTGTATTGTTGGTGGACATTTATTTGGCAAAAGAGAACTTATTCTGCTTTTTCTGATTGTGCTAGGAGCCTTTTTCAAGGAAGAGAGAGCTAGCAAAGAGGTTCTTGCCATACTGCTTTGGGTCTCTGGTGCACATTAATCCACCAGAAACCTTAGAAGCCTTGAAGAGTTAAATGCAATCTGTTTTAAATATGATGGCATTACTGGAAAGAGAAGAGATGGAGATTTTTAAGCTTCCCGATTCTTAAATGCCGTTACTTGGAGTCTTATGCAAAACACTGAAAAATGTTGGCAGGAATATTTGCATTTCAGCCATACATTGCATTGACATCATGGCTTGAGAGCTATACAGAGATAATTTGTAGGGCTACATCTAACAAGGAGCTGGTGAGAGTAGCTGCCCCAGTCAGAGAAACCATCAATTCACAACTGGTTGCTATTTTGGATGGCATGGGGAGCATAAGTGTTCTTTGTTACATGTTGCTCTGCGTTCGTAGCCAGGGGCAGAGACAAACAAAACTTGTTCAGCGTGGTGTGTGTTGCAATATGAGCAATGGACCTTCACAGGCCTGATCCCGTGAGCCCTGCTGTGCCAGGATCTCTTCTGGGGAGAGCACCCAACTCTGTGTCTGTTCTGCCCTGCCTCATGTGGCTGAACCCAAAATGCTGAAGAACATCCCAGGGTGTGACCAGTTCCCCCTGAGCTTACTTGGATTTGCTTAGTCAAGAATTATGAATCACTTCTGTACACACAGTCCCACCCTGGTCCTGGCCGAAGCTGTGGCTTCCCTGTTGCACTTGGAAAGACTCAGCCCTTGATTCTCAAAGGTGTGATGTGCAAGGCTGTTAGTTACACCCCAGGTGCTTAAACAGGGTAGTTGAGGCTGGCAGAACAGACTGGTGGTGTGATTGGGGTATGGCTGAAGGCCACTGAAGTGGTTTGTTGCTTTTCCATGGATATTTCCATATCAGATTTGTTCGGTTTACCTGGAAAAACACAGTTCTTCTAACTGCCAGCATTACAAACACAATCTGGCATCCAAAAAACTACAGGCTCTTCTTTCTGCTTCTAAATAGAGTCATTTACAGAAGAACATCTGCTTGAAAGTTTGCATCAGAGATTTCAAAAGGCTGCCATTGCTTTGGGGTTACGTTCATCACCGTTGTATGGAAAAATACCTGTACTGCCAGACCCCAGCACTAAATTTTCTTCTATCTCTTTAAATAACAACAGAAATAAAGCAGATGGAGATGGGACAGTGCTGCCTCATAGAAGTGCTGTGCTTTCCCCTCGTGTCACTTTATCAGGGCTGAAATTTTCTTCCTGTTTGTTCTGGATTAGCACAGTAAGAGATTATAAAACTGCTGCAAGCCAGAAAGCTGTGAAATTGGCTGAACACTGAGCAGATAGAGTGGAGAATTTGCTTTTTGAGGAAAGTCAAGCACAGAAAACAAGGAGTGTGGGAGAAATCACTGAGACAATTAAAGAGATTATAGTGAATTCAGTGTTGAATTCACAATACAAGAAACCAGCAAGATGAAACAACACAACACCAGGTAAAAAACAAGGCATTTGTTTTTCAACCATCAAAACAGGAACCTGGGCTGGAAGAGCAGTGGATGTTTGGAAGTTTCTTATGAAAGGATCTTTGTCATTGTCCCCATTGCAACAAATGACCCAGAAAATGGAGTTTCAGGGGAAAAAAACCCACCTCCCACCCCCCAGCAGTTTCAGGGGAGAAGATTGCAGCACGGCCCATTAGCCCTGGGAGCTCAAACAGAAGTCAGGCAGTGATGGCATCGGCCACATCAGCATTTTCATCTGAAGGCAATATCAGGGGAATGGAACGTGAAAAAAAAAACAGCTGGAAGTGTCACAAAATGTGGGCGAAAATGCAGGAAAAGAAGAAAAAAACAAAGAACAAATGACAGACTGCAGGGGTCAGGGAAATACAAAAACTGTGTGCCACTAGAATAATTATGAGAAATGATTAAATCATTCATAGGGGAGCTTTAATTATCCAGACATCTGTTGAGCATCAAACACAGCAAAACATGAATCACCGAGGACCTTCTTTTAACTATATAGAAAATGGAGTGATGCAAAAAGTAGGACAAGCCAAAAGCACTGTTCTGACATGGAGTCAGCGTGGGGAAAAGGACAGGCAACACGTGTGTAGCAGAAGGAACAAATGGCTGAAGAGAGGACATGCTCCTTGTGTTACATATAGTTACAGAATATTCTGTCCCAAAGGCTTGGAAAAGGTAGCAATGGGAAGAAGCCTGATGTAGGATGTGGGACTCCTTTGAGCACGAGCCTGAGATTACATGTTGGTAATGTCTGTTTGTGCAGAGGTTCTAATTTACTCCTACTTCTCAGGTCAGATCTCTATCTTTCATATGTCCTTGTTTGACTTACTATATAGGTTATTTGTTTTGTCCTCCTCTACTTGCTCTCTGCATTGATTTTCCTACACTGGGCTCATCCTTTGTGTTGTAGGAGACCCTGAGCTGGGTGGGATTGGCCATAATAGTTTACAGAGTAAAAAACGACAGCAAAACCAGATTAGTATGATATTCTCCATCCCTGAGCTGAACATTTTGTGCTGAGATAAGCTTTCCTCAATCTTTTTTTGATGGGGATTGTGGCCATTTTGGTGTTACAGGGTCAGGTAGCCAGGCTAATCTGCACCTTCATGGCACAGCGTGGATTTGGATCAGAGAGCAACTGCTGTGAAAATCTTTGCTCAAGCAGAAGAAGGATTTGACCCTTCAGTGTGCAGCGGTGAGGTGCCCTCTCCATGTAAGAGCATGTTGGACAGGGAGACAATCTTTCCTTTCTACCCAAATGTCCAGGAAAGTTTTATTTCCTTTCCTTCTTTGAGCAAACCTTAGATTTCAAGCCCCTAAATTTGCTGTGAAACAGAGCTACGCTCCTGAAAGAGCTCTTGTGCATGTCTAGCAGGTGGCCCTGTGAGCTCAGCCAGGTTTGAGGGCTGGTCACAGCCAATATGATGGCATCAGATCGAAACAAAATCCCTCCTAGGCTAGATCTATTAACTAGTGCTTTACAAGAAGATCAGAGCTATTGGGAGCAGTTATTTTCAATCTATGCAACAAAGCACCATATCGTCACAGTAGAGATTTACCTTGTAGCATTGCTTACTCTTGTTCTTTGGTGACTCTGAATTTTTTCTTCTTTTTTATCTTCTTTTTTATCTTTCCTTCTTCCTTAGGCTTCCTGTTTCCTTTCTTAGTCTCTCTGCCAAAATAGAAGCAATGAAAACAATTAGTACAGCTTTTATACAACTAGTAGATTTCATGAAGTTAATGACCCAGAGGACTGATGGAACAGCTTTGGTCATGTTTCCAAGAGACTGTTTGAGACTGTGGACTCTAGAGGATAGCATTACATCCGTTGACATCTAGTTCAAATTTTCTCATTATTTCTGCAACTCTGAAGCCAGAAGTTCACGCTGTTTTATCCAGCGAGGGCTCAGGGCTAGCAGAGTTCAGTTATTCTGCAGACATCTCTTCATTATATCACAGTTTAGGAGTTTGTTCCAATAGCAATCTGGGCTGTTTATAGTCAGCATCAGGGTACTTTGGATCTGCAGGGGAGCAGCTGCATCTCCAGAGTAACCCTAAGAAACCTGTGCCTGGCAGATGCTGTAAGCAGACACTTCCAGAAGCTTGCCTTGATCAGTGGAGATAATCTTTACTTCTCTGGAATCTCCTTTAAATCAGAGACCTGTGGGCTGGTATTATCACTATGGATTTCAATGTTTCTGTGGTCCATCCTACACTCTGCGTGTGCCCATGCAGGTCTAGTGCTCGCATTGTGATGGGCAGCACACACACAAAGGGGCCTTTCCAGACATGCAGAGCGGGGGAGTTTTGTATCTGTATGTCAAGAAGGGAGGTCAGAGATCAGATGTGTTGTCAGAGGGCTGAAAGGCTGCAGTGGAGAGGCACACCTCAATCCTGGCCCTTGGGAGATTTTGAAGGACCTGGCTATCCCAACTGGCATCCAGTCTGGGGAATAGAAGACTCTGGCAAGACCTCATTGTGGCCTTACAGTGCTTAAAGGAAGCTTAGAAACAGGGGGGAGATGGACATTTTTTAAAGGCACATAGTGATAGGATGGAGGGGAATGGTTTTAAACTAAAAGAGGGGAGATTGAGATTCGAAGTTGGAAGGAAATTTTTCTTTCAGAGGGTAATGAGGCCCTGGCACTGCTGCCCAGAGAAGTGTGGGTGCTCAGGGCTGGGCTGGATGGGGCCCTGGGCAGCCTGAGCTGGGGAGGGCAGCCAGCCCATGGCAGGGGTTGGGGCTGGGTGGGCTGTAAGGTCCCTTCCAACCCAACCACTCCGTGATTAAGTGATCCTGTCCTATTCTTTGTTGTGTCTTTATCTATTTCTTCTTTTCCTCTCAGCCATTAAAACAAAAAAGCTAGAATTAAGCCTGTAAGAGGTGTATTTAGGAGACTCACCGATCGTCCATTTGTCTCTTTGGGAATCTGTTCTTGAAGAAGACGAAACATCTTTGTATCCCTTAAACACACAGCAACCAAGTGAATTCATTTCTACCTGCACCCTTTGCTTCCTCTCCTTTCTGGGTCTGTACTGGCACAACCTCCTTCCCTAGTGCAGGACAGGGCCACCTGCTTGGGGCTCCATTGGACTTTCTGCTCACTGGGATTATTTCCCAGGCTGCCAACTCCACAAAGAATGGAAATGCCAGTGTAGCTGATAGTCAGCAGCTCTTTGCTGTTCCTATCCTTGCGGGTCTTGCACAGCAGCAATGTCAGGAGTGTTATCCAGGTCTCAGTACCTTAGGTCCTTTTGCAATGGATAGCAGCAGCTCCAGAAGAAGACTGAAAACTGATCAACAGAAAGTTTCAAATCATGTCTTTAAAAATAAGATTTGAAAAAAAACCAAACAGCCACCACCAAACAACCCAATCAGTTCGCAGGACACGCTCCCTGCTGATTTAGAAGATACTTTTTCACATGTACAGCAAATAAAAAATACTGTACATACTTTCTGTTCCTTTGGACTTGCTTGGCTCTGCACTGCTCATGCAGCCCCAGAGCTGGTGGGGCTCAGGGCCCACTCCTCCTCACCACGTGCAGCAAAGGAGCTGTGTGCACTGGGGGACTGCATTGGCAAAGCAGCTTTAAGGGAAACGAAGGAAGACTTTGCTACCAACAGGTTAACCTTTCTGTAATGATAGCATGGCCCAGCCCCAGGACGCACCTTCATCAAGAAACGTCTGAAGGAGCTAATGATTTTCTGCTGCATCAAAGCTCTCGCAAGAATCTTAAATTAATCTTACTTAAAGTAATGGATTCGGTGTTTGTGTCGATAATCACTTGCTTTATCTACCACTGCACACAGCCCGGAGAGAAAATGAGGACTGTCCCTGTGGCACGTGCTATGGGCAGAAGGCTTTACATCCTCAGCGCATTAACTTGAGATTTATCTCTGAATCAAACCATCCTTTTCTCTTTCTGCTTCCCCAGACTACATCGCTGGCCTGAGGAAGGCAAGCTGCTTGCCAGAGACTTCTCCCTTCACAGGAAAAGCAAGTGCTGAAATTTGGAGATTGTTCAGAGCTTACAGTTTAGAGCTCCTGTGCCTGTGTCAGAAACAGCATCCCTTGGGCAGCAACAGCTGGATTTCCTTATGTTTGGGCAGCACGCAGGGCCTTGGAGCACCACAGCTGTATTTTTGTATGAGCTCTGCCCCGAGGAGCGTGTGTGGCGTGCTGGGATTGCCGTGTGCCACCCCCCACACTGTGGTTTTTCTGAAACAAGGGCACTGATGGTGCAACGAAACCTCGCTGCACAGCACAACAAGCCCCAGCAAGCAGAGCTACAAGCTGGTGCTGTCACAAGGAGGGGTGTGGGGGCTGCCTAAGGGAGCTGCCCAAAGGGGAGTGGGATGTGCTGCACAGTGACAGGGGGCCTGAGCCAGCCTCTGGTCAGAGTCAGTGATGCTGGGGAGGTGGGGAGAACCTATGAAGTGCTTCTGTGTGAGCGTGAACAGTAGAACAGACCTGCTGATGTCCTTTTCTGGGTTCCTCCCCAGGCAATGTTTGAGCTGGTTACTTCCGAAGCCTCGTATTGCAAGAGTCTGAATCTGCTGGTGTCTCATTTCATGGAGAATGAGCGTCTGAAAAAGATCTTACACCAGTCTGAGGCACACATCCTCTTCTCCAATGTCCTGGATGTCAAGGCTGTTAGTGAGCGGTAAGACAAGTGCTGCTGGGGCTTTGGCAAGCTGAGTGGCATCTCGTTAACTAAGCTTGTGTGCAGAGGGATGCGAGAGCTGACTGCAAGCAGTCTGCTACCCAGTCTTTTCCAAAAGCTCAGTGACACATTCATTGCTTTCAGCCCCAAGGGCAGAAGCTGGGGATTGTGTTGGACATGCAGGAGATAATTAAACTGAGCGCTGGTTTTCTCATCTAGCTTCCTGCTGGACCTGGAGCGACGGGTTGAGGAGAATATTGTGATCTCGGATGTGTGTGATATTGTGTACCAGCACACAGTTGATCACTTCTCTGTGTACATCACCTATGTCTCCAACCAGACCTACCAGGAGAGAACTTACAAGCAGCTTCTGTGAGTTCCCGTGCTTGATGCTGTATTAAAATTGCACAGGCTATAGGTTCAGCTGTTGGATATTGCTAATTTGGATAGTGCTAAATGGTACAGAAACAGGATTTCTCACTTCACTGGTGCAAACAAAAGGCTTTAGAGTAAGGGTAAGGGTGGGGTGACAGAGTAAGCAAGTAACATACCAAGTGAGTTCAGAGCCAGCAGTTCCCAGCTGTGGGAAGTAGCTATGATGGATGTGGGAACACACACTTGTGAAACATACACATTCTTCAACTGCAAGTAGAGGCAAGAGACTGAAAGGCCGAGGTCTCCCTGATGGCAAGAACAGCCACTGCTTTTCCTAAGCTTCCCAAAGAGGCTGAACCTTCCCACACTTGAGAAAACTTATCAGAAGAACAACATTTTCTTGAAGAAAAAAAAAAAGCCATTTTCATCACATTCCGGTGTTATAAATACAGGCGCTATCTAGGCCTGAGGATAGAATCCAACATATTTTTGAAGTATTTTTCAAGTTCAGTCAGGCTTCTGGTCCGGGAGGAATTCTCCTCTATCGTCTCAAAACAAAGGCTGCCCTACAAGCCTGTCTTTGAGCAGGAGAATTAATTTCTCTTCAGTTAGGATGTCCTGGATCCCTTCAGGACAGCCCATTGCATGCACTGCTCTGTTTCCTCCCCGTAGCAGCAGCTGGTTCAGGGGTGTGTAGTGAGCCCTAATCCTTCCCTTTCTTTGCTCTCCAGCTTTTGAGGCAAAAAAAACCCAACAAATAAACCCAACGCACTCTAAGCAGCCTCTGCTGAGCTTGGCCAACTGTTCTTCCCAAAAGAAGGGTACTGCAGGGTTTCCTCGAGTCAGGGGTGAGCAGTATAAGCACCGTGTGTGGAGTCATTAGCTAAACACTTGGAATTGAGAGAGGCATAGTCTGGATTAGGTGAGCTTGAAAAGGAGCTGTGGGAGATAGGAATTTAGAGGGAAGCTTTTTTTAATTTTTTTTTTTTTTTGTCTGAGGGAGAACACAAAGCAAAGGGAATTTTGCAGCACTTTGATGAACGCGGAGCCTGAGATGTTTCACAGTTGCTCCCACTTTGGCTGTGTCCCAGGACACACTCGGATCCATTCTGTTGTGGCAGTGGCACGGTGACACGGGCACCTGCTGCAGCACTGAGAAGCACTTACAGCAACTGCTGTCAGAGTGCTCTGAGTTACGTGGAGTGAAGATAGGTTTTGCACAATTAGTGATGTCTTTGCATGATGCTGATTTTGCTAGCTGTGGCTCCAGCTGTGTGTGTCCTCCCTGGGCTGAGCCCCAGAATTGCCAGGAGGTGCTGGCTTTTGACTGCAGCTGTTGAGACTGCTTGGACCCACCTTCTGTGCACACCCTAAGGGAAGGTCCAGGGATGGCGTGTGCTCTTCTCAGGCCAGATCATGATTTCCATCCTCCAGCTCAGCAGCCAGGAGTAGCCAAGTTCTGTGACTTGCCTTATTCTTATGACTGTGTGAATTCCACCTTGTCACAGAGATCCAACTGTGTAAAGATATATAATTATTCCTCTGACTCATCTACTTGGACACACACCCCATTCACACACACCTACGCCCGCGGTGCAGCGTATGCTGCTGAGCTAGATGTGCTACACATGTGAACGCACTACCGTGGCTTCTACATTAAAAGTCTATTTTTTTTCCATCCCCCAACGCTATAAATAGTTCTGGATTTAAACCAAAATACACCTAGAAGCATTCAGTTTCCTCCTTCCTTCTTTTCTGCTCTCGGGAGAAGTTAGGCAGATGCTGTCTCCGGGGCTGTGTGCTCCTGGGTCCTCACCCACACAGCAGAGGTGCAGGCAGGGTAGCACTCACGCTGTCTCTCTCCCCCTCAGCCAGGACAAGCCAGCTTTCCGGGATGTGATCACACAGCTGGAGCTGGATCCCATGTGCAGAGGCTTATCCTTTTCTTCCTTCCTGATTCTGCCATTTCAAAGGATCACTCGGCTCAAGCTACTGGTGCAGGTAGAGTTTTGCTCTTCTGTGTTGCCCAGAGGTCATCTGCATCACTCCTGGGATTCTATTCAGCAGTTGCAAATGAGATACAGACACGATTAATCCTAGAGCTGGCTGAAGCCTTTCCCCAGAATTGAACATTCTCAGCTATGGAAAAGCATTCAGTCAGTGAGAGCATTCGCATTGAACTTGCCATGTTTTGCTGGACAAAAGAGTTGAGGAGGAACTTCAGAAGGGGCAGCAGCCATACAGTAACCAGCTGCCTGATTGTTAAGATGCTGCTGTACAGGTGCTCAGCATAAAACAACCCCAAAGCCACATACTACCCCACATCATGGTGTCTGGGGGCTGCCACAGGCTGGCATCTGTGGCTTCCCCTGTGCACCTCTAACCACTGAAGGACATGCATCTAGGGATGAGGAAGCAGCTCCATCCCAAAGTCTCATACCTCTTGGCTTGCCAGTAACACTGTCTGTTAGCAGCAGGTCCAGCTATTTCACTTTTATAAAACAGTAGCATTACTTTTTAGATATTCAGTTGTAGCCAGATGGAACAGGCTTTAACAAAAAACAGGAACTCAGAGGTAAGAGTAGCTGTGCTCTCTCATCCTGCCTGTAATTAGCCTGATGGACAGAAGTAACCCCGTCTGTGAGAGCAGAGAGCCTTCTGTGCTGTCACACTGGGATCAGAGTTAACACAGCTTTTGCTCCTCTGCAGAATATTTTGAAGAAGGTGGAAGAGAAATCGGAGAGGGAAACCACTGCCCTGGAAGCACATAAGGAGCTGGAAACAGTAAGTTTGAATGAGTCTATCTGAAGGCCATTAAGATTAAATTGTTGTAACTTTCACCCCAGAAAAGACTGCATTCACTCCTGAAGTTGTCCCTTTGATTCCCACCTTTGGACTTAATGTTTGAGAGGTGTGGAGTTGCAGACAGCTGTGCGGATGGAGCAGGGTGCTGCAGGGACTGAGGAGTTGAATCCTCTTCTCTTCGTGGCCTTCAGAAGCTTGGAGTTCTCTCTTGAATCCTGCAGTTCACTTTAAGTATTTCAAGCTGGGAATTGCATTAAAACATCCGCCTGAGGATCCAGCTGCAGCTTATGACTGAGATATTAAAATAAACTAGGCTATTGGACTTGCTCTAAACTATCCCAGGAAATGTACTCTCTGCAGATCACTGAGGATAAAAACAGAGGCTGTAACAATGATGATTAGTGTGCAGTACTTTATATTTCCAGAATCCTTCCTTGCTTCTGGCAGCCTGTTGCTGTCCACTGATCCAGAGCTCGAGGAGGGCTGTTACTGTGGGTTGCTGGTGGAAAAATGTTCTTTTTGTATTCATGTGTCAGAGACCCATCATCACTTTCATAACTGTCTTTACGTAGTTACTTGTCTGTAGACGTTTAAGTTTAGATGCTGACATCACAGCGGTGGCTATTTGATGCCTAATTTTCCCATAATTATCCTCCTGGATGGGCAGAAGCAGATCTTGGTTTCAGTTGCTGATATTCTGGTGAATTTTCAGTAAAGGGAGCAGTGCACAAAGCACTGCACGTTATCCAACGTGATTTTTCTACCTAACCAGTTCTCAGGAGAGCAGTTCCTTATGAAACAGGCAGTGACATCTAGGTTACAGTTCTTGTAACAGGGCAGTGCCTGCATGTTGTATTTGGGGGTTTTTTTCCTGTTAGAAGTTTGTACTCAGAACACAGGTAGACTGTCACAAACATCTCTCCCTGAGACATCCCATCAATTGGGCAACTGGTGCTGCTTGGCAGAACCGCAGCACTTCCATCTTTGAAATGAGGATCTTTGGATTTGTTCTCCTCTTGAAGATCATACTGTGTGTGTTCCTCTATTTTCAAGCATTGGGAACGGGGAGGAGGAGATGTTTGGTGTGTCAGGATCTGATAAACAAGCTGTACCCTTTTCTGCACAGCCAGGAGTGCTGCTTAACGTTGTCCTGCCTGCTACCTGAATGTGGCCATCTGACAACACAGCCTCCAAATGCAGCATCTTCTGGGTGCTGCTTTTTTGGGTTTGGTTGTTTTTTTCCCTTTCCCACGTGGACACATTGCTGATGAAAAAGCCTGGCTTGGTCAGGTTCCTGTTGTAGCAAAGCTCTTCCCCTCAGGGTCAGGCCTTTCTGTACTTGGCACCACTTAGCTGCTTAGGCCACTGAAAGCAAACCTTTCTACTCTCTTTTTGCCAGGTGGTGAAAGCATGCAACGAAGGAGTCAGGAAGATGAGCCGAACTGAGCAGATGATCAGCATCCAGAAGAAACTGGAATTTAAGATCAAGGTATGAGCACGGGTTGGTAGCACCCCCACAGAGGCAGTGAACCAACAGCATCCTGGCATTGCACGTGCATATTTAGTAATAGTAGCTCAGCCACATCCCTTTCAGTGCCATTTAGTGTGGCAGTGCTCTGCTGTCCACACTGTCCTCCTGCAGCCTTTGAAGGAGATGCACTGCTGCAGGTAATGCATTTGCAGTTTGATGCGTGTGATCTCAGGGCACGAGAGCCAGAGTGCTGTGCCCATACAGGGGTGATGTGCTGGCATCAGCCTGCCTGTGTGCCATGGGCAGCTTCTGCTCCAGCACTCCACCTGGCTTTCACCTCACTTCAAAATGTAGGTCAGCTTTTAGCTATTGTTTTACATTATAAATGATGTTACAGGGGGATTAGAGCTAAAAAGCAAAACACTTCAAAGCTGGAAAATACCAAAATGAAGGCTATCTCCCATTTTGTAATTCATCCTTGTGTTTATCCATTAAGTACAGGCTCTGATTACCTGCTGATGATCTGTTCTGGGTCCACTTAGATCACAGTCTGCAGGATGGCACTGGGCTGCAGTAGACATGAGGCTGCCTTCATCTCTCCCCAGCTGAAGTGGTGATGCCAGGCAGGGCCAGCTCAGCTGTGGGGCAGGCTGTCCTGGGCACTGACATGGGGTATAAGCAGTACAAGGGCACAGAAAGAAAGGCTGCACTGCAGCACGTGTGGTGAGCACAGAAAAGGAGCGAAGGTGGAAGGGGTATTTCCAGTATTTCAGTTGTTTGACCAAAAACGTAGCGTTCTTCTAATGTAAGACATGCTGTGTTCTGGGGTTCTTGTTTTTGAGATAATCACACAGTGGTTTGGGTTGGAAGGGACCTTACAGCCCACCCAGCCCCAACCCCTGCCATGGGCTGGCTGCTCCCCACCAGCTCAGGCTGCCCAGAACCCATCCTGCCTGGCTCTGAGCACCTCCAGGGATGAGGCAGCCACAACTTCTCTGGGCAGCAGTGCCAGGGCCTCCCTGCCCTGATGTGTGGTAAAGCTCTAACAGAAGTGCTGTTGTTGCTGCTTGGACAACCCAACCAGTGAGAACTCATTTCACATGTTTTCTTTCAGCCAAAAAACCAACTGTTTTTAAAGACAGCCTCTCTGACCAGGAAGGTTCAGCCCAGGTGATGAGACATCAGATGCACCAGAGACAGGACGTCTCTGCAGGGCGTAGCCTGGTGTTTAAATCCAGCACTTGGCACTCCAGCACCACTGTCCTCAACTGTTTGGGCCCCTGCTGTGTCTCCATCATAGCAGTTACACCCTGTGCTGGGCTGTGGGCTGGGTGGCAGAGCTGCACCCTGTGTAGCTCTCCATCCTCTGCAGCGCGAGTCATTCTGCTGGGAACTCACTTCCTTCTGCATCTCCCACTGCTTTCAGCATCTTACCCACTTAAGCCCACGGGTTCGTTGCTCTTCTGATCTCGGCTGTCTTTATCTCACTCCTAGTCTGTGCCCATCATCTCTCACTCCCGCTGGCTGCTGAAGCAGGGGGAACTGCAGCAAATGAACGGCCCAAAGACGTCGCGGACGCTGCGCACCAAGAAACTCTTCAGAGAAATCTACCTGTTCCTTTTCAACGATCTGCTGGTCATCTGCCGGCAAATTCCAGGGTGAGTGCAGGATTCAGGCAGCACGTGGGCACCCCGAGCCCTTTGTAAGCACCGTCGGTGAGCATCAGGCAGCACTGCTCTGTCCAGATGAAGCCTCGTGGCAAGCAGGGCTCACACACGTGTCAGGCCAGGTCTCCCAGCAGGGTAAGCAAATGTGTAGTGGCCAGTTTCCGTGGGGTGGCAGTGAGTTCCAGCGGGCTGTGGGCCGATCCAGGAGGCCTTTCTTTCTGTCAGGGTGTGAGCTTTGACTCATCGCTGCCGGAGGAACAGCTCACATTTAGTCAGTTAAATTTCTAAGAAAAGAGTGCAGAAAATATGAGCGGCAGGGAGGGGTATCAATTGATGCCCGCAGCTAGCAGTTATATTTGACATGATGTAACCTGCCTCAGGAATGTTGTGGTGCTTAGGACTGTGTTCTGTGCAGCTAGAGACTAGTGAAATACAGCAGCACAAACAGGGCCCGGAGAACAGCACGTCCTTTGTGGCATTAGCTGCACTCACCAGCAGGGAGCATCTTGGCAGTCCTGTTTCTTATCAACGTGTCGCTGCAGTGTCTGCATGCCTGGAAATGTTTTGCTTCTGCGGCAGCTGGTAACCAAAAAACACAGAGGCGTTTGACAAATAGGAATGAATTGAGCCTCACAGACCCCTTTGAAGGAGCATGGTGCAGGGGTCACACAGACAGAGCAAACAACTTGCTTTAGGCCACGTGAGACAACAAAAGCTGAGCAAGGTCTCTTGCCTTGTGGTGGGGTTTCATAGCTGTTGCTCATCCCTTTTCCTCCTGCCACACAGAGCTGCTTGGTCTGTCCCCAGGTACACACCTGAGTGGATGAAGCCAAACTGTCTTGCCACACTTGCAGTTTTTCCTTACCTCCTCTTTAACCTCTCCCAGAGACAAGTACCAAGTGTTCGACTCAGCACCCCGGGGGCTTCTTCGGGTGGAAGAGTTAGAAGACCAGGGGCAGAGTTTGGCCAATGTCTTCATCTTAAGGCTGCTGGAGAATGCTGATGACCGGGAGGCCAGTTACATGCTGAAGGCATCGTCGCAGTGAGTACCATGCCAGCACTGCACAGGGCTCAGCACCACACGCTCCCTGCACCTCCACAAGGGCAGCACAGCCTGTCTGCACGGGGAGCAGCTCCTACAGCTCACCAGGAGCAGGCAGGCAGGGGAGCCACTGCTGCAGCCAGCCTTAGGCCTTCAGAGCTGGCCCTACACATCACACCTGTGAGGCTGCCTTCAGTCTCTCCTACTCGAAGGCGTAAGTGAAGCTGGCTCGCTCACAAGGGTGGGAGCCATGCCTGACCAGCTGTGAAGCAGAGCGGCTCCCGGTTGAGGGTGTGAGAAGAGGGCTCTTCCTCAGCACCATCCACAGCTGATCCCAGTCTTGCAGCAGCCCCTCTGCTGCTCCAAGCCTCCTCATCTCCCTATTCTTGGCTTGCAAATTTTTTGCTTCAGGCTCCAGCAATACTGGGCAGATGATTCAGCTGTACTAACACAAGCATGATTGTTTTGGAATTCAGGGCCTGACTTTCTCATTGACCTGAGTCTTAGCAGGCTCACAGTTTTCTAGGCACAGCTCTATGCAATTAGAGGTGTTATGTAAGTATACATGCACCACCGGTTTCACAGCTACTGGAGGTCACACACCCTCAGATTGATGTGACTTTGCTGTTTGACAGCTCTTGACATCTTGGGCAGAAAGCAGCCCCACCTGAGACCACACAATCCTGCAGGCACGGGGGTGCAGCCGACCCCCTCTGCACAGTGCAACACCAGCATGAGGGAGATGAGCCCCCAGCACAGCGAGCAGCTGCACCTTCCTCCCAGGCATGTGACTGCAGCTTTGCTGTACTGAAAATAGAGATGTCAGTCACATTATGCAGGGCACACGCACGTTTGACGTCTGTGAGACTGAGCTGTGCAGAGGATGATAAACCAGGCCAGGGTTGCCTTTGCTCAGGGAGGTGTTTGCATTTATGTGCTTCTGCAACCCGCTCTGTCTCTAGGATGACCACAGGGAGTGTGAGAATCAGCACACAGCTTGCCAACAGCTCTGGTGCACAGAGAAACGATGCGGGACTGTTGCAAGCTGCTGTTCCAGAGCTGCAGGAGAGATCTGGCCAGTACAAGGCACAAACCAGAAAACTGAACAAACAGAAGAGGGAAGGGGTTCCAAAGAGAGACTGATGCATCTGTTTTGCAGATCTTGCAGCGTTTCCCAGTTCTGAACCCACACAGCAATGACAGGCTGTTCAGTGGCAGCTTTCAGCTAGCGCCCTGACTGGGCTTTGCAGGATCTGTCCTCATGTCTGGGCACAGCTGGTTGCAGGGGCAGGATGAGAGCACAGGTGGGCCCCTCACAGGGCTACAAGACGCCAGGTGCTGCAGGGAGAATCCAAAGAGTCCTGCAAGGAGCTGTGTGCAAGGCTGCAGGGTCAGCCTGCAGCATCAGGAGCTCAGGACTGGGGGGAGGAGAGGTGGTGTCTCCAGGACTTTCTCCTGCTCATGGCCTCCAATTCTCCCCCTTGTCCAGGAGTGAGATGAAGCGTTGGATGATTTCACTGGCCCCAAACCGGCGAACCAAGTTTGTTTCATTTACATCCAGACTTTCTGGTAAGAGTCACTGCGAGGTGTCCAGGAGCTTTTCACCCCCACCCAGGGCCCCTTCTATGCTGATCTCCCCATCCAGCCCCAGGCTGGAGCCCTCTGGAAGCCAGCCTCTGCCTGAGCTCCCCTTGCATTTTTACCAACACCCACTTGTCTCCAATCCTGGCTCTGACTTTGTTCCCCTCCAGCCCAGGCTGGGCTGCACCAGCACTCTCCACCCCTCTGTGCTGCTCAATGGATGGCAATGCAGGGACTTGTGCCCAGCTCCCTTCCCTGCAGCCCTCCTCCCGTTTGTGCCTCCCTCACCCCATGGCCTCAGTGATGTTTCTCACCAGATCAGAGGAAACATTCGCAGAGCTCACGGTTACACCCACCTGAGCTGCTTCTGCCTCAGTCCATCCCTCATTCTCATCCTGTCCCCCTGCAGATTGCCCACAGATCCAGTGTGTCCACCCCTACGTGGCCCAGCAGCCGGATGAGCTGTCCTTGGAGCTGGCTGACGTCCTCAACATCCTGGACAAGACAGACGATGGTATGGAAGGTGGGACAGGAGCCGTGGAAGGGTGGGCTTCTCCCTGGGCAGGCAGCTACTGAGCCAAGGGGGGTCCTTTGCCTACAGACAGAGAAGGCAATGTCAGCATTGCAGCCGAGGGAGCTGACAGCAGAGCAGGGTGTCACTGCCTCTTCCTAATGCTCTGCAAATCCAGGCTGCCCTGGGTCGGGGCAAGGCTGATGCAGCCACCAGTGTGTAACCCAGAGCTGTTCTTACCCTGAGCAGCCAATAGCAGCTTCCAGAAGGCACCGCCAGCTCTGCAGACTCCTTCACAGCAGCGGTCCCAGGGTGGGAGCGACGGTCTGTCCTTCCCACTGACCCCTGTCTCTTTCTCTGCTTAGGCTGGATATTTGGGGAGCGGCTTCACGACCAGGAGAGGGGCTGGTTCCCCAGTTCTATCGGGGAGGAGATCCTGAACCCCAAAATCCGAGCCCAGAACTTGAAGGAATGTTTCCGGGTGCACAAGTCAGATGACAGCCAGCGGAGGAAACTGGGAAGCAGGAACCGCCAATAACTGCTGGCATCCCCGAGCGTGGGGAGCGCCCCTGGGAGAGGGGCAGAGGACAGAGGCTGCCAGCTGGGGGGACACAGCAGCAGTACTGGGGGCTGTGGCACGGGACCTGGTGTGCCACACCAAGCATGTCCACCCTTGAACGCATGGACCTCAGTTCCCAGGTGGCCTGCTGTGCTTTTTGCAGTGCTGAGCCCTCCTTGGAGAGCAGTGCTTCGAGCTGGCTGAAATCACCCCTTTCCAAAGAGCATGAGCCCAAACTGGCACCACACGAAGGCCCTGGGTGCCGGCCAGCCAACCAGCAAGGGAACCTGGGGCAGCAAATGGAACTCAGCAATTAGCATTGTCCACTCACACCTTGTTGCTACCGTTTGAGTTAGGGGCTCTCTTAAAGCTGCACCTCATAGGGATGGGAATTCCAGCGGAGGAGCCATCTCACATCCCTTCACACAGCCTACTGGCACCACGCCCGGGAGAAACCCTCAGGACTCCATTTCCCCAGTGAAGTTGATGAAGGCATCTCTTGGGTAGACCCTCGACCTGCTCCCCAACACTCTGATGCGCTCTGAACACAGCCCTGCTCCACCAGCAGCCCCACCTCAGAGGCCCTAACCTCCATTCCTGCGTACCTGAAGGCCTCAAAGCACATCTGGGCCCTGCCCCATGGCTCATCCCCTCCTTCAGCTGCTGCAGAAGCGTGGCACCATGGCATTCCCAGGCTGATCTGGTGCTTTTGGGAAGACAAGCTACGCATGGTCTCTGCTGTGCCCACCGTGGCACGCTGCAGGGCTCCAGGAGTGCCAGCAGGAAGCACCATGCAGTGAACGACAGCACCCCAGGAGCTGCTGTGCTGCACAGTAGAAGGCTCAGCAACATGCCTGCATGCTTGTAACCCACATCTCCAGCTGTGTGCAGCCTCCCTGTACAGTTCATGTATATACGCAGTCCTCTGTCACAAGCAGAGCCAGACCATCACTTGCTCCAGTTGTGGCACTGAGCATCGCATGAAGCCCAGGGCACAGCGCTCCAAACAGCCCCACACGTGACCACAGCAGAGAGCACTGGGCGTACAGCATGGGCTGTGCTGGTCCTGGGCTGTGCTGGTCCTGGGCTGCAGCCACCACCTGTTACGGAATCAGGGTTATTGGGCATTTCTGTAATGCAGCAAGGAGTCTTCCAGGCACTGCTGTGTGCTGCAGTGGTGTGCGGGCTCTATTCCAGAAGGGGACAGAGATCAGTGTGGGGTCCTGGTTATGTGAGAGAAGTGCAGTGAGCCCAGAATGCAGCTGGGGGAAGCTGCAGCAATGAAAGGAGCACAGAAGGGGGTCCTCCCTTGGGCCAGCTCTATGCCACCACACACACAGGGCCCCAGAGAGGCTAGGATAGGTCTGCAGCCTCCACCCCGTTGCAGTGGGCTCACCTGATGGGAATGCCCCAAGTCAAGCCCCCACAAGAGCACACCACAGGCACTGTCTGAACACAACCAGACCTCCAGGTCCGGCTTCAGACCTTGCAGCAGCTGCAAAATCTCCCACACAAACCCCAGAGGAGCTTCAGCCTCAGGCAGCCCTCTGAGTCACCCGCTGAACTGAGCACATCACAGCCCATCCAGTTTAGCAGAGCCACAGCCAGCACAGCCCTGTGCTGAAGCCCCACAGGTGCTGTTTAACAGTACAGAAGTGCTCCCTCACCCACCAGAAGCAGCTGTTCACCAGTGGAGGAGCCCAGATTCCCCACTGTCAGGATACCAGCACCTGACTGTGTTGCCTGTGGGAAGGAGAGAGGCCCAGGGCTGCCCACGCGCTGTCCCTTCACACCCTGGACTCCAGCTCTGTTGTGACTTCTTATGACTTCGAACCCTAAGCACATGCCGTGCCATTTCCAGGCACCAAGTGGCATCCAGTGTTATTTCCTCAGACCCGGCCACGCACGCCTTGCCACGGGTGTGCAGCTGCAGCCCCCACAGCCTGTGCCAGGCTGCTGCAGGGCACTGAGGGGAACTTCTCGTCGTCTCGTTTTCTGTGTGATGAAATACAGCTGAGTGAGCCAGCGCCACAGCGGCGTGCCGGCATCTCCTTCCTCCCTGTCAGCGCCGCAGGTCCCTGCCACAGTGCGAACACTGAGGGCAATGGGACCACACACAGGAGGTGGAAGAAGGGAGGGATGAGAACGTGGGGCCGGGTGACACACGGGGAGAGTTGGGGTGATTTACAACACCTGAGCAACCCTTTCCCACCAAGGAATGCTGTACAAAGCGAGCCCCTGCACCATTACCTCTGTAGCCCACCCAGCCGTGGGCTGATAGCGCTGCGGTGGAGCTGCCAGGGCTCAGTGCTCCCAGCAGAGCTGCACACCAGGAGCAATGTGAGCGCAGCAGATGGGGAGCAGACAGAGGGCTGTTGTGGTACAGAAATCTTTTATTGAGTTCAGGAGGCAGAGAACTTTCTCAGCGTGATGACAACCAAGGCCACGAGCACAGACGTACCCAGGAGGGAAGCGATGACAATGGCACCGATAGCTCCGGGCCCCAGCGAACCTGCAGGGACAGAAATCACAGTGGGGTGAGGATGGGGGGGACAGGCAGTGGAGTTCACTCCTTTTGCCCTGCACATCCTGGCCCCCAGGACACCCTCCTGTCCCCCTCCATCCCCCCCAAGTGTCGCAGTACCCACGTCCCCTACAGCTGTGGTGTGGCCCCATGCTTGGGCTCCTGCCTGACCCCCAGTCCCAAGCCAGCTGCCAGGGACACGGACAGCCAGCACCAATAGGATGCTCAGCACTCTGCTTCCCTGTTACATCCACCCCCCGGAGCATGCTTGTTGCACAGCAGCAGGCTGCTGTAGTTGAGGTGCCAGTGGAGTTGCTCACACCCTATTTTCAAGAGCAGAGTTTCAGGCAAACCCCTGCCTGGGCTCAGGTGTTTGCAGTAGTGCCAAATGCAGACACGGGGTAGGAGAAGGTCATGGGGCTGGTGGGCACTGCACAGCAAGACCTGTCTGCAGGGAGATGGCCCTGAGCAGGCAGTGCCTCCCAGCAGCAGTATGGAGGAGGGTACAGGCCACCTCCAGCCCCCTGCCGGGAGGTGACAGACCAGAAAGAACAAACGAACAGCAAGGATTTCCCCAATGGCAGCCCCGTACCGTCGCCAGCATCGAGCCGGTGCAGGTGGGTGGTGTCCTCGGGCTCCAGCTCGGAGGTGTATGGAGCAAAGGCGGTGGCATCCGAGAGCCGTGCGGTGGTGGTGGCGTCGAAGGGGCCGGATCCGGAGGGCAGCTCGGCCGGCTCGTTCCACAGTGTGGGCAGGGGGCCCCGTGGGTGCTCTGCTGGGAGAGGAACAGCCAGGTCAGTGCTGTGTGCGGGTGGCTCGGGTCATTGCGCTCACACGGCACGGCACGCAGAGGACGCACAGCGCACAGACCCCATTGGGAGCCCCAGCTCCCTCTGCACCCCCACACCGTGCCAGGAGATGAAAGCAGCACCGCGCTCTGATGTTGCCATTCGCATCCTGTTATTCCTTCCCCCTGTGGGGTTGGGGAACGCGCCACAGCCCTCCCTGTTTGCGTGTGGCTGAGCGCAGCGCTGCCATCAATGCCCGGCTTGTTGAGGTGGGCCCTGGCGGCAGCAGGAGACATTCCTCTGCTCCCTGTGAAACCGCTGGGAATGTCACACCGCCACGGGGAGAGACGGGAAAAAATGAGCAGCATCCAACGGCAGGACCCACCCGAACCGACACAGCGGTTCTCCGGGCCGGGAAGGAAAGGACAGAAGAGTCAGAGCCAACAGAACGGGATGAGGCACAGAGCTGCCGTGTGCCAGAAGGATGGGGTCACCTGGCAGCAGCACAGCCAGCCCTGCGAGGCTGCCCTGAGCCCATGTGGGGCTGTGCCTGCAGGAGGGATGAGCACTGGAGGATCGGCTCCAGCCACTGCTCTGCGCTTGGCAGCAGCATCTCACGTCCCAGCAAGCACCAAGGAGCAGCTCCGGCCTTCCTCAGAGCTGCCTGCAGAGCCAGAGTGCTGCTCTGGGGTAGATCAGGAAAGACCTTTCTGCACCCAAGGACACGACAAGACTTTCACTGAGCTCCCAGCTCAGCTCTGGCCCCAGCAGCCCTAGGCTGAGCTCTGCAATGCCCACAGTGAGCCACCCGGGGCAGCACTGTGGAGCTGCAGCAATGCTGCATCCTCACACGCTCAGCCCATCTATGACCCCCACACCAGAGGCAGCACCCTATGTTCCCCACGAGAGTTCTGTGCCCCACAGTGGCTCCCCAGAAACACCCATACCCTCAGCAGGGCCCCTCCCACCCCACCTGCAGGGCTGGAGATGTGCATCCCTTGCACAGAGCACCACGGCCCAGAGATCTCTTCTGTAGCCCCTATAGGCACACATTGCCTAGTGAGAGATCACAGCAGCTCTCAGAGCAGGGCACAGGACTTCTTTCTGATAGCCAATAAGGAGGAAGCAGTCTAATTTTTATTTTTTTTTAAATGATCTTGGTGATTTTTAAGATCTGGATAGAGATCTTGAAACTTGAAAGCCAAATATCAATGGCAAAGTAGCATTTGCTGCTCCTGTTCACAGAAGAACTCTGTAGAAATCAAGAGCTACTGAGAAACACACCCAAACACATTGTCACAAGGGCAGGTGTGGGACCCCCGAGTTATGTACCAGCCTCAGGGTCAGAGCCAGCTGTAAGGAAACCCGCCCACAGCACCTGTAGGGCTGCTTTCCCCCAGGTGGGCACACAGAGGGGATAGGTGGGTGCCCCTGTGCTGTCTCACCCAGCAGTAACTGCCTCAACACTACAGTCCTGACACTCCACAGAACACCCAAACACACTTGAAGCATTTCAGGGAAAGACACACAAGGGGGAACAAATCTGAAGGACCCTCAGGGTTGGAGCACGTGGCAGATGGAGCCGTCCAACACCAGTGAGCAGCACTTCCCACACAAGTTGACTTCAGGATCTCATTACCCCCAAGGTCTGTCAACAGATGACACTGAGATGTTCCCCCTCCACAGGGCGATGCCTGCAGGGACAGCAACACACGTGCTTCAGGAGGACAGGTGCCCATGTTCCAGACAAGAGGCAGTGCACCTGCTGTAACCTGAGTGTCGCACACCCGTCCATCACTCACAGCCACTTACAGGTTGACTTGGTGCCAAATCCCACAGCTCACATCCTTTCAGAACCCCGGGGCTTTTCTTCTTGGCTGCAGATGTTTGCATCTTTTTACACTGGTTACAAGGAGGTGACCTGCTGCCTTCTGGAGAAACTCTCCACCTCCAGCCCAGTAACCTCAGCCAGGAGATGGTAAGTGTCAGCAATTTGCAAGGAGCATCAGTGCTGAGCCAGTTTTCTACAGAGAGCTGCATCCAGCCTGGACAGACCTGCTGGAATGACTGCAGCTTTAAGAAGTTTGCAAACTATTTACTTCTCACATCCTAGTGCTCAAACTTCAAGAGCTTCCTAATAACCCTCTCACTGTATTACCCTTGAGAACAAAAACAGAAAAGAGTCCTCGGATGAGACCTTCTCCCATTCTTCTCCCCTTTAGCATAACAAAAATCTTCTGCTCTGTCTCTTTCCTCCCCAAACCACCCCACTGCAGTGTAATGTATTTCCATGCGAGCTCAAAACAAATCCAGGAGCCCACATCAGCATTCAGATACAAAACACACGACTCAAAGCAAGGCCTTGCAGAGCCTTCCTGCTGCCCTGCCCTTTCACATGGGGCTCTGAATCCACAGAATCGTGAAGGCTGGAAGGACCACTCAGCTCACTCAGTCCAACTGACCCACATCCCTCAGTGCCACATCCACCCTTCCCTTGAACCCATTCAGGGATGGTGACTGCCCTGCTCCTAGGGCAGCTGTACCAGTGCCTCAGTGCTCTATTGGAGAGGAAATTTGTCCTAATTACCCAACCTGACCTTGCCCTGGCACAGCTGAATGCCATCCTCTTCTCATCCTACCACTGTTACCCAGGAGCAGAGGCCAACCCCCACCCTATCCTTCAGGCAGTTGTAGAGAAATCAGCTTTACTAAGAGTAGAAAGTCACTCTTTGCAGTCTCGCTGTGCTGTAGGGTTAAGTTTTGTGTTTGAAGGAAGAGGAAATGGAAGGGATTTGGAGGCGCAGAAGCCTCCCAGTTTGATCTCTTCCAGTTGCAGTAGATGATGCATGCTATGGGGCTCTGCTGCTTTCCCACATCGGACAGATGCAGCCCTGGAAAATGCTCAGCAGCACAGAGGCACCCCAACTTTCTGGGGTTGCAGAGCCCTGATGGCACCATTCAGAAGCCAGCAGAGGGAAGCGCGCAGCCCAGCAGCACCCGCACAAAACTCTGCTGCCCAGACATGGAAACCACGTCCATGAGGACGGGAAGGCCGTGCTGAGCAGGGCTGTGCCGACACGGAGGGCAGGGGCTGGCCGGCCCCAGGTAGCCGCAGCAGGCACAGGGCCAGAGCAGGGCTGAAAGGAGGCCTTGATGGAGCACAAAGGGCAGCCTGTGGTGTGCAGCGCTGGAAGTGCGAGCTGCGGTTCTGATGAATGTGAAAGGAACTTGTTTACAGAAAGGCTGGGCTGCGTGTGTGCGTGTGTGTGTGTGTGTGTGTGCACCCAGAGTGCAGAGGGCTGCCTTGCATGCTCTTCCCTTTTTTGTCAGCACAAGGCAGGAAATTTCCTTTTCTAACACGGTGAGATGCAAAAAAATTCCACCGTGCACTAAAAGCCCCGTGCAGAGGACAGGAATGGGTAACTGTTTGTACACAGCACAGAACTGTTCTGCTCTGGGGCAGCTCACAGCCTTGGCTTGTTCCCCAGGGCCCAGCTCAGAGGTAGCACAGAACAAACGTAAGGAGGCCTCACACATTTGAAAGGCAAGAGTTAGCACTGAGCCTCTGCTGTGCTCCAGCATCCGAGCACACATCCACCAGTGCAAAGCTCCCGGCCCCACAGGGAGAGCCGACGTGGGGAAGTTAAGATAGAGGTGAAGAATTTTCAGCTCTCAGTTCCACTGAAAAGCAGCTGATAGCTGCTTGCTTTTGCTCTGAAGACAAGATAAAGAGCTCACCTGGTCTGTGAGAGGAGCACTGCCACTGCTCCTGGGAGTACAAGCACAGAACTTGGTGCTTAAATGATTAATGCTGCAGTATAGGAAAACCAAAGCCTGGTGTTTGAGAAGGAACATATCTACTTTTTAGGGCTTACTTAGTAGTTACTTTCAAAGGTTTCCCAGCAAGAAGTCATCTTAGAGCAGTGGGATGTGGGGAACACCAGTGGCAGTGCTGCTGCTCCATCCCCGGGCAGCGCACCATGCAGGTGCAGTGCCCAGCTCCCCTCCCTGTAGGACAGCCCCTCCAAAAAGAAACCTGCAAGGGTCGCCAGCCAGGCCCTCCTGCTGGGCACAATGTAAGAACAGGCTGTGAGGGAGCTGCAGCCTTCCTCCAGCTCTTGGAAGTCAGAAGAACGATTCAGTTAATTGAGCGCTGTGCTCTGCTGTCACATCGGCCTGAGCCACTCATTAGGTCTTGTCTGCATTTCAGAGGCTTTAAGGTGAGCAGATGGGGCCAAAGTTAACAACCTGCTCAACAAGGAGTGCCCAACAGAACAGGGCTCACGCCAACCCCGCTCCCCTTGCAGCCTGTTTGCTGTTTCAGGCCGTTCACTATAGCCACCTCCGGGTGGAACCCCAAACCATGCACGCAGCTCAGCTTCAGACTGAGCTCAGTGTTATCACAGATGCTTTCATTGCTGTACTTGCAGCACTGGTGAAGTGCTGTGCTGCAAGGAGAGCACAGAAGGCACCAGAGATCAGCACAATCTTGAGCTGGAGGAAAATGTGTCTCTCCATGATTCGGAATGCTTTCCTACCACCATCAGCAGACAAACAAGCAGTCCCACCAGCTGCAGAGCACAGCCACGTCCTGCAGCAACCTGGCTCCTGGGCTGCAGTCACCAGCACTCACACAAGCACTGCTGCTATTCAGCCTAACAGAAGCGACAGGATTTATTCAGGTTTCCCCAGCAGAAACATGGACTCAGGATGGAGAGCACGTTCTTACTCAGCATGACCCACCGACTCCAAAATCAACTTCCATCACTCAACTGTATTTCAATAAATGCGTACGGCAGTTTTTAGGGAGGGAAAGGAGGACGGAGTGACAGGAGGAGAGCAGTTAGTGAGGATCTCCTCTTCTTTTGGAGTTCAAATGCAAACGCAGACCCTTACCTGCCAGTGCAGCGGGCAGCAGGAAGCACAGTGTCAGCAGGAGCGGGCGCACGGCTCTGTGGCAGGGCATGGCTTCCCTCTGGAAAAGTGCTGGCAGGAATTCTTAAACTCCTCCAAGTAGGAAACGAGTCGGAAATTTCGCTGGTATAATAAAAAGCTGGGTCTGGTCAGGTCAAAAATTCCTTCACAACAGCAAGTGGACAGAGAGCGCGCAGCCCAGCAGACTCCCTCTCTCCCTGAGCACACCTCCTCCCAAGGCAGCTCCACCCTCCAGGACCTGTGCCTCCGAGCCCATAGGCAGCGAGGCCATTTGCAGGGTCCCTGCTGCCAGCACAACGGGCAGCTATTGGCAAACCCACCCCTGAGCCATGGGATGCACTCAGGATGCCTACCCACAGGCCGCATGGGACAACAAGCTGCACTGGGGCAGATACCCAAAACTGGGCTCTCCTGTGTGCAGGGCAGGGGTGGTCTGGCCCAGGCAGGCACAGCAAAAGAGCAAAGGCCTCCATCTTCTTAACTAAATACTTTAAGACAAGAGTCAGAGCAGCTCCACAGCATCCTTGTTTTGTGGGTGAACGAGAAGTGGACTAGGAGCCACAACTGCTCCTTCATGATACCTTCCAGTGGATGTGCTATGCCATACCATAAGAGCATCCTCCTCCAGCTGAGCTGAACAGACACTGCCTCCTCCACAGCACTCTGCCCTCAGTCTCTCAGTTCTGCCCCTCCAGATAGGTTCACGAGAGCTTCCAAGCAGAGGAAACTGAGGTTTGTTTTCAGTCACACGTGCACTGATAGAGACTTGGGAAAGAACAAAGCAAACAAAGGGTGGATGCTCTGGTTTGCCAGCAGAGGAATTCCATGAGTATTTTAAAAAATTATTACAACAAGATTGTATGAGGATGAAATTCTTCACTTCTGTTCATCCCCAAGATCAGTTCTTTCTGTCCTGAAAATATAATGGTTTTACCACACATTACAGATGCAGAGCTCTGTGGGAAGGGATCCCTCTGCATTTTGGCTGACAAGCCAGACCCAGCTCTGCTGCCCTTTAAAACACACTGTCTGGTGCCATTCTTGGTAACAGTGCTTTGCTGTGAGGGGACACAGGAAACCCAGGACTGCACACTGCCCCTGCAGCAAAGTGGGAAGTTTGGGATTATAACACTGGTGACATGTGCTCAAAAGAAACCTCAGATCTCTCACATCAAACTCAACATCATCTTTCAGAGCCCAGCACAGCACCATTAGCCATCCAGGTTCATGTCCTGTATGAAAAGGAGACTGAAGTGCATAAATACATCAGCTGCAGACGCAACGCTGTAGCTCCTGTTTTTCCCAACTCTACTGAAACAATGACCTTTGCTACTGAAACAGGCCCTTTTTGACCCAGAGAGGGTGACAAGGCAGGTAAGTGACCTGAGCACATGATCTGAACACATCGTCTTACCTTCATGCAAAAATAGAAGTCAACATATGAAAATACTTGAGGACAAGATCTCTTCCCTCCTGGTCCATTACCCACAGGCTCTCTGAAGCCCCACAAGGTCCTCATGGCATGACAAGTTTAGTGCACCTTTTCCCTGCTTGCACTGCTGCATTCAGCCACTGCTGAATTGGTTGTGTTCCCCAACTGAGCTGGAGATTAACAGGCTTTTGCTTATTGTAGTATTCCAAAATTAGCTTGCAGAAATGAGATCATACCATTAAAAAAAACAAGTACTTCAGAAGCAGACAGCTTATACACTAAGGTGAATTAGAATTTTAAAACAAATTACCAGCCTGGACACACGGTTCTCTCTAAGACCACAGCTAAACATAACTCAGAACTATGTAAGCTGGTTCTTTACCAACTTGATATTTCTTGTTGTCACGTGAATGGCTGAAGAACATTCATCATTAGCTTTTACTGGCATTTTCCACTCAAAATCAAGAAAAAAAAGAAAATAAGCTTTAGTCTAGGAAGGGAAGCCTGCAAGGTGTCCGTGTGGCCATTACAGGAGGGGAATAAAAGCTCTCCTGTCGAGAAGGGATTTGGAGTGAGGGTGGTTACCAACTGGCAGAAGGAAGGCTCCACGAGCACAGGTTTGCAGTAACAGAAAGCCAGCCATGGCTTCACCTCTCCTGCATTAATAAGTGGGCATGCACACGTTCCTGTAAGCAGAAAGGGACAAAACTTAAAGCTTTCTTGTCAGTGTTGTCCAATCTCAACTGACTGCTGTTTATTTGAACTCTAAAATTATCAAGTAGGAAAAAACCACCAGTGTTCCTCACCGGGGAAGAAATAAAGCAGCAGTTGTTCCAGATCCTGTGCATTTCCTCATTTCGTGACGAAAGCTGATGAGAGTTGAGTTTTGGGTCAGTTTTAGCACCAGGAATTATCTCAAAACTCAGCTTTGACAAAAGCAAGCAGAAGATTTGCTCTCAGATATAATACAACCAGGTTTTATTTAAGTTCTCTCTTTCCCCCCCCTCCCACACTGGCAAAAGTTCAGAGGGAGTTTAAAGTTTTGTAAACATTTGAACTACCCCTCTTCCCCCTTTTATGAATTTACAAAGCAAAGGAGACAGGGAGACCAGATTTGCAACAGTTCCAAGTCTCTCCATGCTATTGGATCCAAAAACTATATACAAGTCTGCAGCAGTCTCTGTATAGTTACTGTACACGTTTGGGGGCTGGGGGAAGAGAGAGGAGGAGGAGGAGAAGGTGACCCCAAAAAATGAATAAATCAAACAAAATAAAATTCAAAGCCAAACTGCTCTTGAGCAACTCAAACTGTTTTCTTTAGGCAGTGATGACAAAGAGACCTTCATACACCTCCACCAAACCTGTAGCGTAGCTCCCTTTGCAGGTTACACCCCTCTGGGAATGGGAGATGGGACCAGGGGGCTGAAACTAAGTGCATTTGGCAGTTTTAGATTTGTTGTGTGGTGTGTGCACGTGGGTGGGTGGAGAAAGGAAGGCGGTGGCAATCTTCTGGTGAGAGAGGAAGGTTGTGATTCCATACTTAAACATTATGGATCCCAGTGAAGGTGCATGATGCAGTTTTACATGTAGAAGATAAGCAGAGCTGTCACTGCACTTAGCTTCGCCCTCCACAGTCTCTTTCCATTACAAAAGGGCATCTCCGCTTGTTAACCAAAGCACTGTTGGAAATGACAACTAGCTAAGACTGTGGGGGTACAGATGTGAAAGCCAGTGTTCACTCACACCAAAGACTAGAGATCCACACGGTAAAGATCCTACTGTCTCTTAAACGAGACAAATTTGCAGGAGAAGAGCTCAAAATAAACTGGTCCTAACCCTCAGAAGGTACCATTTAAGGGATAAATTCAACCCGAAAGAAGAGATATCACCCCTCTTCCTCCCCACGTGAGCACAAGTCCCCACTTGTCCAAAGAAGGCTGGATATGCTGACAGGAAACTCCGACAGCTTCAACATCACCACCTAACGAAGACAGACTCGAGCGTTCCCTCCAAAAATAATGTGCTGAGAAGGGCTGGCAGGGGGGTGTGCAACTTCAAACCAACCCAAGCTAAACTGTGCCCGCCACCGCCCTTCTCCTGCTGTTGCCAGTTCTAAGGTTAGCTTATGAATGCAACTCCTGGCTGGGAGAGCACCTCTTGCCCTGAAGGAGTGCAGAAGTCAGTATCTGTGTGGCATTTTGTTTTTGACCAACATCTGTTAACCACAAACTCTCTCTTCACGACTGCAAGTGTTGGATGTGGTAAGAGTAACCAGGAGAGAGAAGCAACGGTTTTTGCAGAATCCCAATTGATTTTTTTCCAGGTATGTCAGTAGAAGAAATCACAGCACAGTGAAAGCTTGCTGCCCAAATGAGCTTTGTTGTGAACAAATCCAATCTCCCACCCTCCCAGGACTCTGAACAAAGTTCACTTGACTCCCAAGCAGATTCTCAAGACAGCAGGAACAACGCCTGTGCAGTCCTGGGCAGAAAGGGTTTGTTGGAGCCAGAAGCAGCAGCCTGAGATGACCAATTCTGTGATTCACTGCGAGGCGAAGAAGAACGCATGGTGAAGAATACTGTGTCCAAAATGGAGAATCCAGGGTTAACAGATGCAGCAAAAGCCAGTTGATTTGCACATGCTCAGTAGTCTTCCAAAGTCTCTATTTCTCCCATGTTGAGCCGCTCTGATGAGGCATTCACTGAAAACCCTGTAAGCCAAAAAGGAGTTGTGTTAAATCTGGCTGTGGTATGTTTCATATGATGCAGTGCATCTGTTACATGGAGCAGTTGTTAAAGCGAATAATGCACACCAAGTAAAAACCCAAAGGAAAATTACATATGGACAGATAGAGTTACCCAAATTGCTGTTTTTTTTCTCTTTAGTAAGTCAAAGATAAAGCTAAGTATCACAATCAGCAGAATCACAGTCCCAACTTTCATTGAGGAGGTACCTGAAGAGCTAGTGCCAGATCTAGGCACTGTGAAGATGTGGCTTGGCAGCCCCTCAGAAGGCAGCGTGTTTGGGTCAAGTGGTACTTGAAAGTGCCTATCACACCACTTACACAGTCAAGAGGTAGGAACAGATGCTCTGTGAACTCAGAATGGAAGTGCTGTTCATACTCAGCACTGCAGGAGCAGTGAGCAATTCCACTCCTTGCTTTTGAAGCACGGAAGCATGCGGAAATTCCATGCATTTCCATGGCTTTGTTGATTTTGTTATTTGAAGTCCCCTACTCAGACAGACGACATGGATGTGTACAGAAGTACACAGGGCTACAGAAAGGGCTCAAAATACATCTGAACTCCTACCCAAACTCTTAATAGTGCTGAGGATGTTTTGATTTCTTCCTCATTCTTCTGTCATCATCTTCTACAAGGAAGAATTCTAATGTTTCACATGATGCAACTTTTCCACTGAAATCCCGTTGTTATTTTTGCACCAATCTCATATGAAGTATAAGAAAGAAGAATAATCTTTTCTGTGTAAAAGTTGCTTAACACAAACCTAGCATTTCATTGCCTTGAGTCTGCTATGTAACTTCCTCCGTGCTACAAAACAAACTGCTTTTCACAGCTTCACCTGCTGAGTACTTCTGAGTAAATTGTTCTGGCTCCCTCTCGTGGCAGTATGTCATCCACAGACTTTTGGAATCATTTTTATCATATTTAAGAAGCTGCACGTGGTAGTTCTCTCAGCCAAAATATCATAATTGCACTCAGTGATTTCTTTCCAACATCAGAAGAGTAGACATTTTGTTTTGTTGCTGTTTGTTTGTTTTTAATTGAACTGATGACCCACTCTGAACTCACTGGATTAGCATCTGCTAGTGGCTTAAGTGAGGATTCCAAGGAGATCAATGTGCTTCTAAGCAGGAATTACCAATTAATAATTGAAAAGCATTGATTTTAGTTGAGGACAAAGAGGAAAGAAAAAACAAAATGGTTTTGTCTGCTTTAGGAGTGTTTTGCATGTGGTAATTACTAAGCTGCTTTAGACAAGTATGAGCTATGCAGCACCAGTGCACCAATTACATGCCCAGTGCAGTGCTCTAGTTTCCATTTCATCACATGCAGCACAGATGTGGGCACAATATATTCCACAGGCATACCTTGGCTAAGCTTTGCATGCCACAAGACTCAATGATATCCTTCCTTCTTAAGGGACACTTAACAGAAACCTTTCCATCACATTCTATCTTTCTCTCCCTTCATACCTTGACCATCTTTTCCAAATAACCATGGTATTCCTTTTTCACAAGGAAGATGGGAATAATGCTCTTGACTACCTCCGTTTTAAAAAAAAGCAAATCACTGCAGACAGACAGCTTCTTATGAGCAGCACAAGAGGCTCAGAAATGTAACCTGTCACATTACCACTCACCTCTACTAGCACTTAGTTGTAAGAAAATGCTCGGTTATTTACATCATGCCACTATGACTGTCAGTTATCTAGCATCTATTTGTTATGGTACATGTAACAGGGATTTCAGATCTGGAATATATTTGTTCTACTGCACCCTTTGAAGTCCAGGGTACCTGAAGGAATAGCAACACATCCATGATAGGCAGCTTCTTGTCTCAGAAAACAACCACTTGCAGAACATGAAAACTTGGTCTTTAGAGTCTCCAAAGTTATTTTTCATCTCTCATAAATTGTTAATGACTATACTAATGTTTAAAACAACAAATACAACTAGATTAAATCTATCTCCCCCTCCTCTTTTTTTTTTACAGGCAACCTTTAAGTTCATTCTGAATTTATTCTCAGTACATACAATGCTGACAGAGGACACTGGAAGTCCATCTTGTTCTTTACATCAAGGACTACAAACAAGTTCTCTACAAGACTCTGTTCCTAATCTGCTGGCTGTATTTGGGCAAAGAAAGAATGCACAAGAGACTCCTCTGATCAAGCAGTGATGTAAATCAGTGATTGCACTATCTTGTGCTCTGCATATCATACTCTTGAGACTACTCTGCCCCAGCAGCAGAGATATTCAGTAAGTTTACCATGAAACTGATGCATTATTTAAAGAACTCCAATACTGAAACAAATCCTAAGGACTTCAACTGCTACCCTTTCTGTTAGAATTCAGTATTTCCATTTAGGTTAACAAGATTTCTACGCTACTCAAGGCTTTTTCCAGAACAAAAGATTAGTTTTAAAAACTGACCTAACAAGCTGGGATCTGCTCGAACCATTTTCTGTTTCTTCTTTTTCTTCCCACTCTGTACAGCTTCAAAATTCGATTGCTGGTTGTTACTCTGATTGGTCTGAAAGACTGAATGTAGCGAGCTGTGGTTCATTCCCCACACTGAATCCTACAAAACAAAGACAGTATTATAAAATGAAATGAAGTTTTCTTTACCTATACTTAAACCAAACAGCCTTCTACATCATGTGGGGTAGGGTGAAGCCACCAATATATCCATCCAATACACCTATCCCATCTTCTTAAAGTGTATCAGCATGCTAAGGGACTACTTGTACAACAGCTGGCCTGAGCTATTAATTATAAAGGATATTTGATTCTGCAGTACATATGTGAAACCTGCTTTATCCTCTGTAATTCATGTAACCTTTGAAGTCCTGCTCATACTCATCAATAAGAAAAGCTGACTCCTCAGACTGAAATACAGAAATGATGTACTCCTAAAGACTATAGCAAGCAAGATGTACCTGTTGCTGCTGCTGCTGCCGCTGCTGACTGGCTTTCTGTTTGGCACGGCGCTCAAGAAACTGCTTGGCAAACTCCTTGGCCTCAGGAGTATCTCCAAGATATGCTCTGATGTAATCATGGACCTCATAGGGAGACTCTACTTCCTTCAGGAAAGAAACAAACGTGGGAACT